CAGGACCAGTCCCCTTGGGATCTCCCATGGTGCAAATGCCCAATGAGAAGCATTGGGATTATGTGCTATCAACCCCCTGGAGCACTGGGATTATCCACTGGAGGACAGAGGGATTAGTCATACTGCAGATCCCTGAGGATGGATGCTGGGACTAGCTGTGGTGCAGATTCCTGAGGATGAATAACAGGATTAGCTGTGGTGCAGATCCCTGAGGAGGAACACCAGGATTAGCCATGGTGCAGATCCCTGAGGATGCACACTGGGATTAGCTGTGGTGCAAACACCCAAGGACATGTGCTGGGATTACCTATGGTGCAAAGTCCTCAAGGATGTGTTGGGTTTAACTGTGGTGAAACTCTCAAGAGCAAACACTGGGATTATCTGCCACACAAAATCCCCAAGGATGAATGCTGGGATTACCTGTGGTGCAAACCCCTGAGGACAATGGCTGCTGCAGCAGACACCTTGCACCCTCCAGCGTGATCCTTGGAGCCCTTGCAGCCCCACAGGACCCTGCTGGCTCTCCCTGCTGGCACAATGGGATTTGTTTCCCTTCCTGCTCACCTGGCATTCCCTGGAACAGGGCTGTGCCCCTCTGAGCTCCTGGGAAACTTCACAAAACTCCCCAGGGCTGTAGGCACAGGATGTGGTTTTGTGCCAGCACAGCCTGGCTGCTGTGGATCTTGGTGTCTGTCCGTCTGTCTGTCCCCCACAGCTGGACTGAGCCAGGCCCGGGTGCTGCGGCTCTGGCTGAGGTTTGTCCCTTGCATAAGGGGGACATGGTGGGCTCCGAGATTTACGAGAAGTGACAAATTTCACCCGTATCTGTCGGGGACCTTGCACAAGGACTCAGGCACTTCCCCACCTCCCGTGCATGACTCAGAGTGGAAGCGAGAGAGCCGGCCTGGGGAAATCCCAGAGTGTGGAGGGGCCACAGCAGTGGCTGCTGCATTCCAAGGATTTGCTCTGTACAAACGCGGCCTGATGGCCCAGCCACCATCATCATCATCGTGAGACTGCCATCATCACTGTACCACTGCTGTCATCACTGTGCCGCTGCTGTCATCACTGTGCCACTGTCATCATCACCATCCCACTGCCATTGTCACCACACCACTGTCATCATCACCGTGGCACTGCCATCTTCACTGTGTCACTACCATCATCACCATTCCACTGACATCATCATTGTGACACTGCCATCGTCACCACACCATTGCCATCATGGCTGTGTCACTGCCATCACCATCATGCCACCACCCACATCACTGTGCCACTGCTGTTGTCACCAAAGCGCCACTGTCATTGTCATGCCACTGCCATCATCACTGTGCTGCCACCCTCATCATGGTGCCATTGCTGTCATTGCTGCACCACCACTGTCATCCCTGTGCCACCACTACCTTTGCCAGCAGGGGACTGGGCACTGGCCAAATCCACTGGGAAGGGTGCATGGCTCCAGCTCCCTCCCTTGCAAACCAGCACTGTGGGCAGTGGCAGCATTTTGGGGACCTGGCAAGAATCGGCGGAGCCCGAGGGGTGCCTGGGGGGGCGGTGGCTGCAGCACCCTGGTGGTGCCTGGGCAGTGCTGGTGCCGGTCACACAGAGAGGTACCAGTAGGCCTCTGGGTGTGGGCAGCGTGGCAGTGGGATTTTGGTCTCATTCTTGGAAAACTGGCTGCCTCCCTCCTCATCAGAGCAGAAAAAGCTTCCCAGGCACCCACAGTGTCCCCTGAGCATCCAGACAGGTTGTTCTTCTCATGGTGTCATGGTGAGATTTTTCCTGGCATGTGTGGGCAAGTTGTGAGGAGCTTTGCTGCCAAAAAACCCCATAAACCCAAATAACCTTGTTGGAGAGGTGTAGAGTGATCCGCCATGCCGAGCCACCCTCTGGGCACTGGTTCCCCACCAAAGGCATGCAGAAGGCACTGTGGGGGCTGCTGGGGGGACATCACCAGGAAAGGAGCCGGTGGCACAGGCAGCTCACTGGCACTGTGGCCACTGGCACCACCTAGACACAGAGAGTGCAGAAAGCTGCCGGTGCCGGTGCTGTGGTGAGGGCTGGGACCGGGGTTTGCCAGGAGGAAACGCAGCAGCTCCACGCTGGCACCGCCCGCGCGCAGCTGTGACCTTGTCCTGACCTCCATCCGCGCTCCTGGCACGGCCACAGCGCTGGGCTGGCGTCGGGCTGGCGTCGGGCTCCTTCCTAGCTTTGGCAGGAGCTGGAAAACCCCACTTTCTCCCGGCTGCCCTGCCCTCCCCAGGTGTGTGGTGGCCGTGGGTGCTGTGGTGGCACTGCCTGTGCTGTGCTGGTTATTCCCCTGCTGTGCTGGTGCCGCCCGTGGCACCCCACGGGGATGGCAGGGGTCAGAGATGTTGGGAGATGGAGTGGGGGTGAGGTGTCATGCCTGGGTTTGGCTCCAGTGGGATGCTCAGGAGGGAATTCTGTCTTAGGGGCATTTTCCTCCACCTACCAGTCTGTCCCATGTCACCTGGTGCTGGGAACAGCTCTGGACTGGCTGAAGCTTTGTATTTTTGATCTGTAGAAAAATTCCCTGCAAAGAACAAAAATGCAAATTCTGGTGTATTCCAGTAGATACTGAGAGCTGGTGTGGCTCCTCTGTCCCTATCCTAGGGAACTGTCATGTCCATCGGTGGCCAGATGTCCCCATCAGTGCTCAGCCAATGTCAGCTCCCACAGGGAGAGGAAATTTGGGAGATTCAGGCTGGATCCTGTTGCCTTCAGCTCTGTGAGCTGGAGATTACCTGTGACACACCCCAGGGTGTGTCATGCCCAGTTTGCATACCAGGTGTCAGGACTAGGAATGCCACAGCGATGGCAGATGGCAGCTCAGTTCTGGGGGCTTTGGGAGTGCAGCTTCATGGGGTGTCATGTCCCCAGGTGATTCTGGGAGTTCTGAACCTGGTGCTGGACTTTCCCCCATGTGCACAGGATCCTTTAGGGAGCAGTGGGGTGAAGTCTCCACGTGGGAGCTGATGCTGGTGGGGTTGGAGGCCGAGCTGGGGCAACATCTTGAGCATGCTGAGCATCCTGAGTGCCCCAAGCCAAGCGGCATTGGGGGTTCCCCAGCCCCACAGTGCTGCTGGGGCACCTCTCCTGCCGAGAAGGAGCCCGTGGGTGCTGGGTGAACACATGGTGTGTTGAGTGTGCAGTTTTGGTTACTGAGAAATCCCTTTCCTGGTACCGGCCCCGTAGAACGGGGCATCTTGCGGCGAGCGCGGTGGTTCGGGGAGCGCGGGTACCGTGCCTGTGGTTGGCACTTCTCCGAAGCCAGACTGGCTTTTCGGGCACCGTATCTCTCTGCTGCATCATTTCCTTCTCCCCTCACGCTCCCCATCTGCGCTCCCCATGCCGAGAGACGCAGGGGGCTTCACAGAACTCCCTTTTCCTGGAATTTCACACTTTCCTAAGAAGCCGACCCCAGCACCGTGGTTGGGATGGCGATAAAACCCGCTCGGGGACATGCTGCACGTCACTACCCCTGTGCGGGAAAGCAGCCAGGGTTGGTGATCCTTTCACTTTTCTCCGTGCAGGACTTTGCACGGGGCACGGTTGTGTTCCAAGGACGGCAGAAAAATCAAATTCCTTGAGGATAAAGCACCGGCGCCAGCGCGGCGGCTCACGGCACCCCTGGCCCCGCTGGTGACAGTGATTGCAGCGCAGCACAGCACAGCACAGCTGCAATCACTGTCACCAGCGGGCCTGGAGGTGCCAGAGCCACCGCGGTGTCACCAACCCCGTTGCAATGACGCCGTACACGGGCGACTTCTAAGAACTTTCTTTTTGGTGCAGCTCGGTGCTGATAAGGGCTGATCCCTCTCACGCTGCATTTCCGGCCCCAAAGTACACGAAGTCCTCAGGGGAGAGAGGGAGGGAGGAGGGGGGATGGAAGAAAAAAAAGCACAGCTAGACACAGTTTGGTTGGGTGACCATGGAGAATGTCCAGTGGGGACATTCTTGGGGTCATACAGTTTGTTTGGGGACATAGTGGGTGTGGGTTTGCCATGAGTATCACAAGACTGGAGCAGAATTTGGGCAGTTTGGTGGCAAATGCTATGGTGGGGTGAAGCACCACAACCTGGCATCTGTGTAGGGACAGCGGCTGTGGATTCGAGAGGACCACTGGAGCCAGCAGCCCATGGGATGCTAAAGCTACTGCGTGAATCACAGCCAGCCAAAATTCTAAAAAAAAAAAGCCTAGCACAGGAGGACGAGTGTGCCCAGCCCATGGTGGCACTGCCTGGGCTTTGCTGGGATGCATGGGGTGGCTCTGGCCAAAGGGATGAGCACCACGGGTTGGCTCCATTCCCCAGCACCAGTGCAGGGGTCCCCCAGCAGCTTTCCACCCCCCTGGCACCCCGAGTCAGCCCAGTCCTAGTGGTGGACTGGGTGCCACGTGCTGCAGCCTCCCGGTGGTCAGCGGCTCTCGCTCGCCGTCACACGGGGCGGCAGAGGAACCGAAAGCTGCCGGAGGGGTATTATTAACCTCTCTGGAAGTGTTTGCTCAGCATTCTGTCACGTGCCTGTGTCAGTGCCAAACCTGCCGGAGCGCTCTTGGCACGCCACCGCTGACCCTTGCACCCGTGAGCGGGGTGTTCCCTGCCTGCACCCCACGTTCCCCATCCTCCCTGGAATGCACTGCCATGCTGGGAATCCACTTTTCCCTCCTTTCCTCCACCCATCCCTCCACTGCAGGGTCCTTGGGGCTGCCGAGATGGGTCTGGGTGTCACTTGACCCCGCTGGGGTGCCCTGACAGCAGCTGGGCAGTGCTCTGCAGGGTGTTTCCTTGGTCCCTGGGGTATTTCCTCGCTCCACAGGGTATTTCCATGCTGATGTGGTATTTCCCTGGAGAGCTGGGTATTTCCTTACTGGCTGCTGTGCCTCAGGTGGCTCCCGGTCCTGAGCAGTGGAGTGGGGACAGTGTTTTGAGATGCAGGGGGTGTTGGGGCTCAGCTCAGTCTCCGTGTTCCCTCCACAGGGTTCCAAGCCGAAGCTCCATGTCGCCTGCTCTGCCGTGCAGGAGGTGCGGAGGTGCACCCGCCTCGAGATGCCCGATAACCTCCACACCTTCGTCCTCAAGGTAGGACCTGCTGGAGGGGTCCTACAGCCACCCCCAAGGACTTTCCCACCCTCTGGGGCGCACGTGGCTCCCAAAAGCTCCCGTGCCAAATTTCAGTTCCTCTTCCCATCCCGGGAGGGGATGCACAGGGGGATGTGGTGTGCAGGGTGGGGGATGTCTGTCCCTGCCAGGGTCATGAGCGTGGGTGGGTGGGAGGGGGGGATGCACATCTGTCTCTCTCTGAAGCCCCCTGTCCCTCTCCAATGTCCCCCAGGTCACCAATGCCACCGACATCCTGTTTGAGGCCGGGGATGAGCAGCAGCTCAACTCCTGGACAGCCGAGATCCAGGAGTGTGTGCGCAGGGGGTAAGCGCCCACTGGGTGTCCCTGAGCCTGGGGATGGGGGCAGTGGCTCCATGTCCTCCAACATGAGCTGGCCCCCACCACCAGCACTCAGCTTCTCCTGTCTCCTGCAGGTCTGACACGGGTGACCCCGAGCTCCTGGTGTGCCGGCACCCTGACCCTGCAGCCACCAGCCCCACCACCAGCATCGACCCCCTTGGCCAAGGTGAGCAGTGGGGACACCCAGAGCACCCTGGGGACAGAATATCCCTTGCCAGGGGGTCGCCGTGTCCAGCCATGGCTGGGCTGATTTAGCTTCCCCTTTGGCATGACAGGGGGGCAGAGACAGAGGGCAGGGGGATGGGGGCTGTGGGCAGGGGTCCCCACTTCCCAGGGACACTCATCCCTGTGCCCCAGCAGTGGCGACGCCAGGGGGCCCCGGGGAGGCGGCAGGGCCGAAGATGGAGCAGTTTCTCTCCTCCTGCCCCTGGTTCCACGGGCCCATCTCCCGCGTGAAGGCGGCTCAGCTGGTGCAGCTGGGGGGGCTGGAGGGCCACGGCGTGTTCCTGGTGCGGCAGAGCGAGACACGCCGCGGCGAGTACGTGCTCACCTTCAACTTCCAGGGCAGAGCCAAGGTACGGGCGGGAGAGGGCTGGGATGGGGAGGGGAGTCTCGCAGGAGCCCCTCGGGCAGCCCCCCTGCTGCAGCACAGTCCCTGTCCCACCACATCCCACCCCAGGGAGGTGCTCTCCTGCTCCCTGTCTTGATGCTTGTAGTGGGTTGGTGGCCCCATCCCTGCTCCTGGGGGGCAAAAATCTCCAGGGAATTGCAGGTTGGGGATGCAGCACATCGTGCTACAGCCATTTGTGTCCCCCCACCCCAAATATCCCTCTGTCCCTGCCGTCTGCTCCAGGAGGGAGCGGGTGGGAGGGTAACAGGTCTGTCTCCTCCCTGCAGCACCTGCGGCTGGCGCTGACAGAGCGGGGCCAGTGCCGGGTCCAGCACCTCCGCTTCTCCTCCATCGTGGAGATGCTGCACCACTTCCACCGCTACCCCATCCCGCTGGAGTGCGGCACGGCCTGCGACGTCCGGCTCTCCAGCTACGTCGTGGTCCTGCCCCACTCACAAGGTGTGCAGGGATGGGGAGGTTCCCTGGGGTGCAGGGATGGAGGGTGCCCAGAGCTGGGCCCTTTGTTTGCACACAGAGGGGGGAAGTGGAAGCATCCGGGCAGTGGCACAAAAGGTGACTCCCGAGCTCCCGGCTTCCTCTTTTGAGAAAGGAGAAGCTGCTCCCCATGTCAGCGGGGGGGTCATGGGATGCACCCTACACCCCCACTCACAGCACCCTGACCACCCATCTCCTGCCTCCACCAGCAGCTCCTGGCTCCAGCACCACGGTCCCTCTCCCGCTGCCTGTCCCCGGCTGGAGCCCCGAGTTCAGCCTCGCCCCTGCCGGCTCCTCCTGCCCCCACGGTGCCGACGAGGCCCCCCCAGGCCCCCCTTCAGAGCAGATCTTCCACCTGGTGCCGCCGCCGGCCGAGCTGGCGCAGAGCCTGCGCCCCAGCAGGATCCCCCCGGCCCCCAGGCCCCGGCCCCGCGAGTCGGACTACGAGGTGGAGGCACCGGGCCGGGGCCACGTCCGTGCCATCGACAACCAGTACACACCACTCTGACTGGCACCACGCCAGCACTGGGATGCACTTTTGGGTGGAGAAATCCTAGAGACCTTCTGGGAATCCATCCAGAGAAAGAATGTACCTGTTTCTTCCTTCTGGTTAGGGATGATTATTTTATTTTCGCAAGGAAGGGGGTAATTTTTCACTCCTGTATGGGTGTGCTCCCTCTCGTTGGCCTGTTAAAGGGCCTTTTATTGTTATTTTTGTTGTTATTCTCAAAGCTTTCTCATTACTGTTTACACACCGCTCGTGCCTGTGCCCCATGTGCCGAGCGCCGCGACGCCGAGCTCGGCCTCCCGCCTGTCCCAGCGAAGGAACCAGGGTCTGTGTTACACACACAGAATCGGAGAAAGGTAAAAAAAACCCCAGGAAACCAAGAAAAAAAGGATTATAAATTCATTGACAAGTTGCTGCTCCGGGCCCTGTCCTCCTGCCCCAACACGTGCTGCCGCTGCCAAACCCACCAGCAAAGCCCGACCTGAGCTGAGCTCCTGCGACGGGCGCGAGCAGGGTTTGGGCTTTATTTTTAGATAAGGCAAAAACTGGCTTTTCTTGCACTTCTTTTTTAACCCAGCACAGCCAGAGTCACTCCCTGCACCAGCCAGGGGAATGCTCACCTCGCTTGCCCAGCTAATTGAGACGTGAACACTAATTGCTCCATCCTTAATCGTGTCACCAGCTGAGAACTAACACAGAGACTGACAGCAAACCATTCCTGCTGGTGATGGAGGGGCTTTATCCCAGTGATGGAGACATTTTATCCCAGTCACTGAGACATTTTATCCCAGTGATGGGCACATTTTATCCCAGTGGTGGAATCATTTTATCCTGATGTTGGAACTGTTTTATCCTGGTGATGGAACCGTTTTATCCCAGTGATGAAACTGTTCTACCCCAGTGATGGAACCGCTCTATCCCGGTGATTGGAAGCATTTTAGGCACAAATTTGAAGTCAGTTTTTCCCCCAAATGTTTTCTCACCTCACCAGCTCAGCACACCCTGCTGTCACTTGCCTTTTCCCCCCCAAAACACTGTGTCACCAAGAATTTGGTGGTATTTAAAGCTACACAGGCAAGGGGGGGTTCCTTGGACACCTCCTCACCTGGAGGAAAAACCTATCCCAGCAAATCCCTGGGTGTCAAGATCCCCTGATCCCCAATCTCCGCTGCTGTTTCCAAGCCCTGGTGCTGCTTCACCTGCTGGGGCCTGGGGCAGCCGTAGGAGAGGAACCACTTCTTGGAAGCTGCCGTTATTTTAAGAATGAGGAAGGGCTGGAGCTGTTGCAACACCCGGGGGGGTGATGTTCACAGCATTCAACTTCCAGATTTCCCAGCGTAGCCCCCGGGATTTCAGCTGCAGAACTTGCCTTGAGATTGATTTCCAGAAAGCTTTTTCCTTGAAATTGCAGTACAGGTGGGAGCCCTCAGGAGCATTAACATTTAGGAATTAATTTGAAAACAAGCGAACACAAAGCCTTGTTGGGCTGAGCTAGGGAATTTCACAAAAATCCAGCCTCTAGGCCGGGCTTTGCCGTGAAGCCAGTGCTTGGTGAGCCCAGTTGGTAGCCAAAGCCTGAGGAGCCAAGGTCAGGAGCTGAAGGGCAAATCCCAGTGCTGTGGGGCAAGGCCAAAATATCCAGGGTCAAAAACAGCTCAGGGAATGGCTGTGAGAGCAAATCTGGGTTTACAAGTCACAGTCAAAGGATGACACTGGGAGAAACAGGAACCATCAGCCTGAGAAACCATTTAGGATTTGCATTTTATGCCTCCCCATCACTTGCTCCAGCTCTCTCCTGGGTTTTGTGCATTTAGAGCAGGCAAAGGCTTTTTCTCCTCCTTTCTCTTGAAAACAGGTGCACAGGGAGGAATCCTACTTTTCCATGGGGATCAGCATTCCCAGCACTCAGCACATGCTGTCACACACTCACTCCTGAAACCAGAGCACTAAGAGTGAATTGCACTGGTCCAGCTCCTCCAGCACTGCCAGAGGCTGATGGGGAAACAAAGGCAGCCCTGTCCTCCTGGAGCTCCTCAGCTGTATCCGCATCCCATTTTCCTGCCTGGAGCAGCACAAAGGCTGCATCCAGTGGCAGGAGCACATCTCTGAGCTGGTTTGTGCCAGGCAAGTCAGCTCCCTCCATCACTAATAAATAACTCCCCGTGGTCTGTGTTTGCGGGGATGGGGAAGGGAAGGGGAGGAATTACACACAAGTTATCTCCTTTCCTTGCTAAGTGCTTGGTTCCCAAAGCCTTGGAAAACACATACACATGCTAAATCTTGCTAAGATTCCTGATTTTAGTCCCACCGAGCACCAGCAATCTGTGTTCAAAGGGGTTTTTCCCCCCAGAAATGTGGTTGCCTCGCCTGAATCTCCCTACATCTGCAAAGAAAGGATGGACTGGGAAAAGGGATCACTCTTTACAGCCAGTGCAGCCCTTGCCAGATGAATCCACATAGATCCCTGCCAGATCAATCAGATGCTGCTGGGGTGGGTTGTTTTGGCATTCCAGGGCTTATTGTTCCAGTGCCAGAACCGTAACATGCGTGTGCATGTGGTATTTTTAACCTGCAGTTTAATTGCAAGGGGTTTCTCTGCAGCTGAAATGGAAATTGCTGTGCTTGATTACCAAAATATATGTTGGGTTCATTGTCACCCCAGCACCTGCTTCCCCCGTGCAAACAAACTCCTGTTCTTCCCACCCGTGAGCAGTGGGAAAGTCACTCTGATTATTTCATAGTTATATCCATCCCAGAACTCACCAACGAGGGAGCCAAAGGTTTTCCAGCCCTCCCACCTCTGTCATCTCCCCATCTCAGACTCACTGTGGTCTGGACCCAGCTGCACCAGGACCTCAAGTGATTTTGGGGTTATTTCCCAAGCTCCTGGGGACCGAGTTTGACATCCCATTTCTCCTAGAAAGCATCTGGTTTGTGACACGGGTCAGAGCCCGACATGCAGTCCCACCTCTGCTCCTGCCAGCATGTTCCTCCAGCCCACAAGGCACCCAATCCTTGATTAGAGCAGTGGGCAAAGAGCATTAACCATTCCATCCTATGCAATGTAAGCAACTTGCAGGAATCTTTATAATCTTGGGACTTGGGAGAAGATAAGGCTGAGCAGGTTTAGTTCCTCAGCCCATGTGGGCTTTTATTGGTGTTTATGAAGTCTCAGTGTTGAGTTTTGGGAGGAGGGGAAGCCAAGGGAAGAGCCCCCAGATGGCTCCACACAGGTACAGCCCCTTCTGAAACAGAAGTCAGGTGTGACCCCAGTTGTGCCTTGGCCCTGGAGATGGAACATGAGTTTGGATCCAACCTAACTAAGCCATGACCCACAGCAGCGGCTCTGGAGGCCCTTCCTGGTGGCCTCTCCCAGGAGAGGCTGTTTGGGGTGCGAACCCCATTTCATCCAGCTACTCAGGGCAGGTTTTGGCAATAAAGATGCAAACCAGGGCAGGTTTTGGCAATAAAGACGCAACCAGGCAGTGCCTTCTCACTGTGGGACAGCAGAGACCTGGCTTAGGGCATAACCCAAGCCTTGGGTCCAGCCACAACTCCTCCCCCTCATCTTCATCTTCATAAACCACTTGCTATTTGCTGACAGAACCCCCTGCTCTGTGGCTTCTTCATGTCCTTGTGGGTGTCAGGTTCTGCAGAAGTCCATGACCTAAAGCATTATTTGACGTCTCCCTCCCTCCCACATCCCAGCACCAGCAGGTACCAAACACTGACACCTCCACTCCTCACCTCACTGAAACTATTTTGGGGCAAAGTTTATAGGAAGAGATCCGGGGATAAGCCAAAGCTTCTCCTTTCTAATCTGGACCCCCAAACGCTGGTATTACCAGTATTCCAAATTTTAATTTTAGTTTGTTTGATCCAAACAGCCCCAACCTTCACCAGGACTCAGCCTTCAGCAGGACGATTAAAGCCAACATTTTGTTGGGACTTTATTAATTTGAAAGTTCTACTTTTCACTGGCACAGAAAAGTTCTTCTTGTATAGTAATTTTTTCTACATATTGTTTCTGTATGTACTGTACAAGTAACTTATTCTTGAATAATGCAATTTTACCGTAATATAAAAAAAAAATCTGCTCTTAATAAACTGTTTTTAGAACTCGTTTCTCACTTTTAGTCTTTAGTCTGATTCTCTCCAGGTGCCTGGATGCTGTTTTAGTAGGTACTGGGTGCTAAAAGTCAGAAATGTTCCCTAGACATGGAAAAAGAAGCCAAGAGCCTGTGCCAACAGACTGATTGAAGGAGTCTCGTCCCAAATGACAGTGATGGTCCGTGGCTTTGATTCCCACCTGATCAGGAATTTGGTACATTTTTCTGCTGTGTTGACCTGGAAGGGTTCAGAGAGGAGCTTGTACAGTTGATTTGTTCTGCCATGAAGTGCAGCTGTTCTACAACCCAGTTTAACCAGCACCACTTTGGTTCGTCCCCACAGGACACCACACAGGGGTCAGGAGGACACAGCACTTTGAGTCTGTCACATCTTTTTACCAGGCATTTTTCTAGGGAATTCTTACCCTGATTCCTTCCTTTCCTTCTCCAGTAGCACCACCGACTTGTATTATTTTATCACCTTAAACTGTGTAGTTTTTATCACCTCAAGGCCCAGCTGGGACATCTCTGGTGACACCACCCAGAGCGGAGGCACCAGGGAATCCACTTGAACACAAAACCTTGTTAAAAAACTGCTGAACTTGTGCTTTTCAAACCTTTCACTCGTCTTTGCAATGCCCCACGAGTGGCTCTGGATTCAGAACATGACAGACCCCGGGCAAAGCTCAGCTGGAGACCACAGTACAGCCAGAGACTGGTAAATCAAGACACAAACACCGAGGAGGGTCAGTTTTTAAAACTTTTTTTATTTTTTAATTTTTTTTTTAAGTTTTTATTTTATATTATCTACAAAGTAAAAGTTTTCTTAACTTAAAAGTTACATCACTGTCTCACGATAGTGATTCTCTCATCAAACGTGATTTATAAATAATAACTCATCCGTTTGACGATTAGAATTTTTTTTTCTTTTACTGAACCTGTTTCAAGTTTAGTTAGAAGTAAAAGGGATCTCCAAGTCTTGATTTTTAGTGATAATAGCAGCAAGAATCACTCTTGTTACTTCTTTTGCTAGCTGACGAGTTCATAACTTTGAAGGGTCATTAAAAAATAAATAACTTCCAGTTTTCAGCAAGCAGAGTTGGGGCACTTGCAGGACTCAGATACAGTGCATGGAATTATGGAATAGCCCACAAGTTCCTAAATGCCTCTACTCAGTCCGAATCTCTCCCACTGCAAGATGAACTGTTAGCATTCCTAGTGGATGTTACAAGAAATCAAATTTTTTTTTTTTTTTAAACAAAATAAAATGAAATTCTAGTTTTCTGTGCTTCCAGTTGGCAGAAGCAGTAGAAGGAGGGTATTTGGCCTACAAAAGGTATCCAGCCTTTCAGTTATTCCAGATGAGCCTTACAACTGCTGTTGGTGGTGGGCTTGTACTGTAAAAAAAAAGTTCAAATGTAAATAATAAATTGGCAAGCCACACAACAGTTTGCTAGTAAAGTGGTCACAGGACAACTACTGAGCTCAACTTTCTTTTATTTTTATTTTTTTCTCTTTTTTTCTTTTATTTTTTTAGAGAACAAACCAAAACCCTGCACATCAAGATGTCCTTTGGATGGTTTTATTTTTCCCCTGCCTAAGCCCTCAGAAAGCATTTTTCTGCTCACACATTCCCCAAAAAACAACATCACTACAGGAATTTTGAGGCTGTTTGAACACGAATAATCAAAGAAACCCAAATCAGGTTAAATTTTAAGTGGAAAAAAGTCATACAGCACCTACTTTTCCCAAAAATAAAGTTGCAGAATGTTACTCTGTATTAAAGTTTAGCTTTCAGCTGTCACTGAAATTAGCAGTCACTTTATTAGCAGTCACTTTCTCAGCAGTCTAACAGCCCTAAACCAAAACCATTTTCACTCCCATCCTCGACACCGAACACTTTATATTAATAAAACCTTTAATTGTTATAAACACACGGCAACACCACGGCAAACCCTGGCACAACTCAGTCCCACAGCATCTCCCAGCTCCCCATTCCTCCACTCCAGCTGGAGGAAAACTCCCTAAATCAGGTAAACCTATCTAGGCTGGCAACAGGCTGGCAAATACGAACTGCTCTACAAGGACATCTTAAGGTCGGGGTTTGTTTGGTTTTTTTCGTCTTTTTTTTTTTTTTTTTCCCCCAAATCTGGTCTGTCCCAGTCCTGATCCTCCGCCCTGGCTCAGTTTAGGGTGCAGGTGTCCCGGGCACACACTCCTCACCTGAAGGGTGCGTCATATAGGGGAAATGTGTTGTTGTCGAGACGGGAATGGGCTGTAGTGCACTTTGAGCGAGGGCGGCTTGGGGACCACCGGGAGGCTGTGTCGTCATTAGCATCATTGGAGCATGGGCAGTTGGGTGAGAAGGAACCATTCCTGACTGTACATGAGCCTGAAACAAAGAGCTCTTTAGTATCATGGTCACAAGGAGGCAGCAACTCCTGGCCACATGACTGGCGAAAGTTTTCTCTCCGGTTGAGAAAATCCAGAGGTTTATACTCCGTTAGGGATTAAGGCAGGTTTGAACATAAAAAAAGGAATAACAACAAAAAGGAAAAATAATAATTGAAAAAGGGCTCGAATTCTTAGTGCTGGCTCGGAGTCACAATCTCAGTTTTAGCCATTTTGCCAGTGTTTAACAGGGGAATATTAAAAAAAAGAAAAACAAAACAATTCAGCAACAAATCTTCCAAACATTTCTGTTAGTCACCTACATCAAAGCACTTCCTAGAGGGTACAGACAGGAACTGCACAGGCACTGGGAGTCTGGCATCCCTTCCCCAGCTCTCCTTACACAACCCCACATTCCCTCCTGGCTCCCTGCCCTGGGTACCTCCCTCTCCTCTCCAGTGACCTGTGCTCACACATTGTTCAGCAAAGTCCTTCTGAGAGGAGTGATTTCATCCCTTTGTTCTGGTTCCAGTTCAGTTCATCACAGTTCTTGTGTGATCTGAGCAACCAGGGCTAAGTCTCAGCAGAAAAAGGAGATTAATTCTTCCAATGGCTGACCACCTCTGGCAAGCAAGTTCAGGAACTTGGTGGGTTCTTTAGCTCAGAGCAGTTCATGACTCTAAAGTCATTAATTTTTTAGGTTAAAAACCTAGTAAGCACTAGTTTCTTAAAAGCACAAAATACTATGGAACTCAGAGCTCTCAGTGGATCTCTCTCAGGGGAATAAAAAGCCCCCAAAACCACCATTTGTACCTAAGGTTTGCTTTGTCCTTCTACCATATCCCAGAACTGCAGCCTCACAAGTCTCCCATGCCAGTAAAGACAGATAGCAGGTAGTGGCCAGAATTTTATTTCTTAAAGACAAAAGGGTTACTTGACTCATCACAGACATTCCTCAAACTCTTTTATCAGATTCGCACGTGTTAGTAGCACTCCAGGAGCCTTTAAAGGCAGGAACTGCAATTCAAATCTCACTCTTGCTCTAAAAAAAGGTTTAGAAGATCAGGCTGTGGAACAGAAATACCTCCCAGGACTGGCTCCACGTTGACTTTGACAAACATGCTATTGGAGGAGCATCATTATAGAGAAGCTATTCATGGAGCAGCTGGAGTCAAGACACACAGTGGGTAAAATTTTTCTGCTGTGGCTCGAACACTTTGCAAATTGGCAGCTGACAGAACTCTGTAATGAATTTTAAAAGTACTGGTTCTCAAGTGAGATATCTACCAGCTCAAGAGTCATCTGACAACCTACAGGGAAATTGGATTGATCCCCTGTGTTGGCCTGACTGGAATTCTTACCACGTGGTGTTTCAGGATGGTGTTTAGAAGCTGGAAATGAGGCTGATAAGAAACTGTACAATCCAGTGATTGGTTTCCCCACGATGGAATAATTACATGCATTTAAATTTCTGACTGAACTGTAGTTATTCCTTCACTAGAGATCTTTAGAGGGAACTACTTCATTGGGAAAGTCAATTAGTTTGGTGTAAATATCACAGATTATAGATTGTAGTTTTCGTTCTTAAAAAAATCACAGAAGAGACTGCAGCAGTTAAAATCAAGGGCAAGGCAGGATTTGTCTGTGATTGCTAAAAATCCTGCCTGAGCAGGCAGCTCTGACTCAAAGTTGCATCTGATATGCTTAATGTGGTTTGGATAAGTGCTTGGCACACAGAAAGGAAGGCAGTGGTCACATCCTGCATCCATGGGCCTGGCCATGGCGTGTACAGCACATTTCAGGTACAGGTTTACCTTGACATGTCCTTGAACTAAACACGTTTCATGTTTCAAGGCAAGACACTGAACGTGTCCCTAAGCCAAGACCCTGCTGAGAAGCTCCACACACAACCCGGGCATTCACAGCAGTGCCATCACACCAGAGCAGAGCAGGAGTCTTGTTTCTGGCAGAAACCAGAGCCTGGAAGGACGTGGCAAGACTACCAAGTTTGGACATCCTCTCCTCATCCTCCCCCAAAAAAGCAGAGAAATTAAAAGCCTAAAAGAATCAAAAAGCTAAACACTCAACATAAGTAAAACAATTCCTAAATAACTATTAATTTACTGGCTTAACTGACTGTCCCAGGGACCAAAGCAAAGGTTTTACCAGAATTCTGTATGGGATTGGACACCCGTTGGACAAACCTCCCTAATCACAGTCAGCCAGCACATCCCAAACTATTGATAACCTGCATGAGAAGGCAGAAGCCAGACACCAAGTTCTTGGTCTGAAGAAGAAATTCTGCAGGCAAATTACTGCTTTAACTGTCCATTCCTTGACAAAGGACACTAGATCCAGGAGATTTAGTGAACATCAGGACATCTCTGCAACATTGCTTTACACAGAGCTCTCGATGAATCAACCATGTGCTTCCCCTCCCAAATCTTTTTTTTTTTTCTTAGTAAGCTGGCCACAAAAGAGAGCAGTTAGAGAAGGAGATTTCTGATTCTGAATCAAGGACTGTCATTAAGTTGCTCAGCAATCTTTGGGGATCTTCTGCATAAGCAGTTCATTTAGAACCACACACAGACACACACATGCAGGGTTTTCCTTCTGCAAGGATTGTCCTGCAGTCCCCTGAACTGAACCTCACCTCCCCCCCACTGCAGTGCCTTGCTATTCCCTAATAATCTGTGTAATATCCTTTTCTGAATGTACCCGGATAAATTTGCCCACAATGCAGAGCCTAAAACTGCCACCAAAAGCAGCAATTCAGCCTTCCTGCACTCAGCTCTCCAACCTTTCTGTATGCCAGCTCTTCCTGGGATCATGCACCTGAGCAGTGAACTGTTTTTCCAAGAAACAGCCTAAAATGGGGGGTAGGGGAGGCACATTTCATGAATTGTGTCCCCAGTCTGGTTTGCTGCATGGCCAAACAGTCCTGTGAGCAGGATGGTGGGGCAGGGACAAGGATGGGAGCCAGGAACTGGGAATGGAGCTCAATTTATTTCAGTAGCAGTGCCAGCTTAAGATGTCTTCATTAAACTACAGTTGCAGATGCACTAGGTGTTGGAAGCTGAGGTCCAAACATCTTGTCAAACTCTAAATAAAGGCAATGTACAGACAAGAAACCTAAATAACAATAACAGGTAAGTCTGTGCTGAGAGGTGACAGAATGGAAATCACTTCAGCAGGCCCGACTTTTGTCCTAATCTTTGTGGCATTAAGACATTTAAGTCTTGAAGGTTGTTAAACTGTGTTTACCTGGGGGACATGGGCCATGTGTGGCGGATTGGTATATGCAGGTTGAACATGGGAGGGATGAATGGTGAAGACTGTTTGTTGTGCTGTAGGAAAACTATTTTGTGGAGACTGCGTGTTGGAGCCTGGCGTCATGGAAGGAGGGGTTGGAGCTAGACCTGCGTGGTAAATCGCCGACTGCTGCTGGGGGTTGGCCAGGTGGAGTGCCTGGGCAGCCTGGTGCTGGTGGTGCTGCAAAAAAACACAGGAGAGCACTCATGTTATGCCCCAGAAATCAGACAAATCTATCCTGTCAACTACCACGAGAAAGGGGTGCAAAACTGCTCTCAGTATCGGGGCGAATCTAAGGATCACCACGCCTCTGGAAGTGAGGAAACCACACCCATGGTCGTGAGGAAGCTCATTTCAATCCCACCAGGCTCTTTTCAATCCCACCACGTGGCACATCAAACTTGAGTCTGGATGTGCCACGACTGTGCAAGTGCAGAGCTCCCTCCTCCCTCAGCCTGGTGCTCAGAATAGAGTTGGTTCTTTATTCTCCAGTTTGATCACTTGTGTTAGAATTGCTCAAATGGAAATGTAAGTGCTGCTTTAGAACAATTAATAATTAATTTAAAAAGCTGTTTCAGGGGAAATTAGACATGACTTTGGTTGATTCAGAAGGTATTCAAGTGAGTTAGTCTTGAGAAAAAACAGTGATGTCAGAGTGAATGAGGGTTGTCTTCAAGACTTGCAGTTAATAGTGAGGCTGTCAGAGGATATGGGCCATGCATTACTCTAGAGAACTGCTGAGCACAAAAACCTCTGATTTTTAAGGAGGGTAAGAAAAAATGTGGGCATTGGGTGGATGTGGCACTCAGGGACATGGTTTAGTGGTGGACTTGCCAGTGCTGGGTTAATGGTCGGACTTGATGGTCTCAGAGGTCTTTTCCAACCCAAACAATCCTGGAATTCTGGGATTCTCCTTGCACTAGGAAGTCATGTGAGCAAGAGTCTGGCAAACAGAACCCAGACTGCTGGGTACAAGGAGAACCTGCAGCCATGGAACTGGATGTGCCTCACAGCTGCTCAGTTATTCCCAGCAGGAATTAAGGAATGCAGCACTACCACAAGGACCATTTTGTTTTCAGCTGTTTGTCTTTGACAAAATACAACCAAACACTTCTCAGCATTTATCTACTATTTCCACTCCACTCATATCAAAGCACTGACATAATTATGATCATTCCTTAATCCCAACACGGATCAAGCTATACCTAATCCCTGTGAAGAGGGAGGACTCTGAACTGCTCCATCCTACCCTTTTTCCCTCTCAAAAATATCAACGTATTTACATCAAGCTGCAATTCCCTCCAGCAGAGCATTAATTTAAATACAATTAAACACAATTTCAAGCCATTCAGTCCTGTTTGAGCCTGTTACCTGCACGGGGCTGGGAGCAGGGTGGCTTCCAGCATGTTGGCTTTGCTGCTGGCCAGTTGGTGTGGCAGAAGGCTGAGGATGAGGAGGATGCGGATGCAGGGTAGCATTAGGGTGGGCATACTGCTGAGCAAGTGAGCCAGTGGAAACTAGGATGAAAAAGAAGGATATTTAACACCAGATATAGGACAGGCACCTCATCAAGTCACCACCTGCAGTTGAGGATTTCACTACAGCTCAAACAGATTGTAAATATACTCCCCTCCCCCTTCTAAAAAAAATATTTATCTTGCAAATAGCTGAGGATCTTACCTTGCTTTTGTGTAGTTTGGTTTGGCAGGAAAGTCTATAAATAACCATAATTAGACAGTTCATCTTCCCTAGTTTGACAATGTAACAGATACTACATAGAGAAAAGCAGCATTTCATCTTTTGCTTTGTCAAACAGACCAGTTTCAAAGATCAAATTTATAATTTTCATACAATTTAGGATTTCCTGAAACATACTTTTCAAAGGTGTTATGAGCCATTTTTATTTCCACCATCCAAAAAAAGTCTTTGGCCTTATACCTGGCTAACCTCACCATGCTACTCTTCTGGAAATTGCTCATAAAGTACAAACTCTGTGCTTGAGAGCTCCAGAGACATCCAGAAAACACATCACAGCTGAGAAAACTGAGGCTGCTCGAGCATCAAACCTTTGTTGAAGCCAGTTTCTCATACTAAAATAACACATCTTGCCTCTGCCCTCAGGGCCAATCAGTCTGTTCTGGATCAGCACCATCCCGGGAGCTTCTAACACTGCCATGGAATTCTTCATTCCTTGAAACAGTAGCAAATAAGGTACAAAATTCCCAAAAAGGAAGAAACTGAACGACACAAAACTTTCACCCCAGTGAAGCCACACGTGTTGCCACGGTCGTGCCAGTCTCCAACAACAAACCAGCAGCAACAAGTTCCTCCCTGGATCCTGCTCTGTTCTGCTCCAAAACAGGCCACACTAAATTGTAGTTTTTTGAACTTCTGAGGGAATCCAAGGAAGTATGAAAAGCCATGATGACAGCAAGCGTTCCTTTAAACACAAAGGATGCAACAGGAGAGCAAGATCCTAAAAAAAATGAAGATGTTTTCTCTATTTCTTTTACATCTTGTGCAACAACCAGTCCGTGTTTGCAGCTACACTTCAGCGTGTGACAGTGGGCACTGATCCCTCCAATGTCACAGCCTGAAAAGACCAAGGCTAGTTTTGTTAACAATACTGAGAAAAAAGTCAAAGAAAACCATCAACCTGCTCCTGAATTTTCCCTGCAACTGCTTCTTATTTCCTTTAGTACCTTTTGGTTGTTCTGAAGTTAACTAATGATGACTGTCTATGGGTTACAGCTTTTTTTCATGGGGTTTGTATTCTATGAGAACTTGATGGCCAGTGAAGCACCTTTAAGCAGGGATAGCTTTTCCAGTGGGGTTTTCTTGCCCTAATAAACAAATCTGAAAATCAGGGCACAGGGAGAAACTCCCCAAGTGCAACCCCCTGTCCCAGGTATTCCCGGTGGGCGAGGTGAGTGACCTCCCTCCTGCAGGGAATTTCTGAAGAGCTTCACTGTACTGGGCTCTAAGTTCATAACAACCAGAACTGTCTGGGTGCAGACAAAGGATGAAAGACAAGATGGATGGAAAAAATGGACTAAAATGTAGCTGCATCTGAAAGCACAACAGTATCCAGCACAAGCAAGCCTCGAACTGCTCTGTCACAGCCCTGACACTCCACCCTGTGCAAATACCTATTTTCCTCCAGTCTGCCTTGCTATAATTCTTACAAATCCTAGTTCTAACAAATTCAAATTCACCAGAATATATACAGACAGTATCTTTTTGCCTAACTGAGATTTTTCTCCCCGGTACAGTGCATTAGGAAGGCTCCTCCTTCAGAAAATAACTGCCTGCCACATTTAACTTAATCCCTTGAAAGCTCTATTAAATCTTCACTGAGCAAATGGCCCAACAGTGATGTGCAGTTTCAGGCTATTAATGCAGATGAACTCAATTCCTGCAGACTGGAGCTGATTCTAAAATACTTATCCAAGTGTACAAGCACAGTCATACACTCTGAGCATTTCTGATTGAGAGAGGGTTTCAAAAACACCTCAATATTTTCTAAGCACACTGTCAAAACTGCAGGATCTTCTGCCACAGCACTTTGTTATGCTTTAAATCCAAGTATTTTTAGTTTTTCCTATCACTACTAAAATGTATTTTGCAGCAGCATCCCCACCATGCTCCTACTTGACTTTCAGACATCTCTCCTTACAATAACATGAAAATTATCAATGACAACACTGATCATTTTTACAATATGAAGTTTATGGCTTCCTGCAGGAGGAAAATATCTCAACCTCGTTATTATACACACTCTGAAGAAGGCCAGAAGTTATTATCTCTGTCAAAGTGATAGAAATAAATGCAAGGAGAGATTACTTGCTTGCCAAAGGGCACGTTACACCAGCAATCCTCCCACCGCCTGAGCTACAGAGCTGACTGCAAATTAACTCCAACTCCATTCAAGAGGCTTTAAAATGTAGATGAAATTTAATTCCAAGTTGTAAGATATTCAAGCCTTCCCACATTGCTTGTTAAGAGCCCCTGAAATAACGTGGGGCTCCCTTAAACCATTTGTGCAATTCATCTTTCAGTCCTTTATAGCCAAGAGAATAATAAACCCAGTTATTCTGAACTGGATACATTCTACAATAAAACTGCACAAGGAGGAATTTCTCTCTCAAGAAACCAGTTAAAGCAAGGAACAGCACCCTGAAGAATAGATGTAAAGCAGGAGGAGGATCAAGTTTTTGTCACAGTGGCAGCTCTTCCATAACCACCTAATATTTCATCCCCAGCTTTGCATTTGAAGCACCACATTTCTTATACTGAAGAATATTTATTTCCCTAATTTCTCTTCTACCCCATTTTGTCTTTAACAGATGACTCTAATAACCGAACTTGTCAAGCTTAAAACCACTTCAGATGCTGCTGCAAATGATGTTTTAATAGTGATATTAAAAGTGCCTTTCAAAACTGTTATTTGAGCCCTTCTTTAAATCCTGTACAGACACTGCAAACAAACCAAGAACAGGCTGAGTGGCACCAGGTCTGAAATGCATTCACAGATCTCTGGTAGTTCAAAACCAGAGTTCAAACTGCAATTCCAGCAGTGTAAGGGTTATTCCATGTTTAGCAAGTAACAGTTCTTGGCAAGCCCATGAAATCTCTGAGACCAGCAGGGCTGGGGAAGGAGTCCTGTAAAAGTCATGACAAATTCACCTGCTCAGCCAGAACTGAACTGTCACTGGGACTTTAAAAAAGAATTTCTGCCTGGTCATCCAAACAGCTCACTGCACATATGAAACAGCAAACAAGACAAGATAGGAGGTGAAAAAAAAAAAATTAAAAAATTAATAACCAATTATCCAATGTTTTCCCCCAATTGTCAGCATTTTGGAGATTTTTCAAATGGCCATCCAGTATCCAAGAAAGTGCTGAGAAAGCTCTTGGAAGGGTCAAACCAGCTCCTTGCAAGTCACCTCAGTCATTCCAGCACAAATACACTGGTTTTCTCACCCTTTATGCCTAAATACCTCTCCTTGGGCTGACCTGCTTCGCTTCTGCACCTTTTTAATCAAGTTGGTTCCTAAACTGAAGTATTTCCCTGCACTAACCTTGCAGGGACAGTGAGGGAAAGCGATTCAAGCATGGAATGGGAAATAATACCACATGGATTAATTACTGAATTCAGCTCTAACAAGTGCATCCATTTCTCTGAGAGGCAAACAAGAAGTAGAGTCAGCCACAGAACCCACAGGTGGAGCTGAAATCAAGAGAGGTCAGAGCAGCAGAAATCAGGCAGAACTCCCAGCTACAAGGGTATATGAAAACCACATCATGTAATTTTCTTTTTTCCTGGTAGGAATTTCAGTGGTGCCAATGGTGGTCAGCGCTGGTCATGGTCCAAAGATGCACTGAAGAGCCTATTTTCAAGAACTGAGCAGTGAAAAAACTTCCAAACTATTGCCAGAGCCAGTAAGATGGTGAGGATAACTACATTTAAAAGACCTGAATGGTAGGAAGCAAAGAAATAGCAAATGTTTCTTTCACAATACAAACAATTCAAGAAGTCATTTTACACAGGTAGAGTGGACTCCAAAGATTAGCCATGAAAGGAACGAGCTGATTCAAGTGATTTCAGTGCACCAAACCAAGAGCCAAGAACACAGGACAGGTCAGCACCTCCAGCCCCTGCTCAGGCAGAACATTTTGGCACAACAAACACAGGAAGTCTGTTCCAGAAGAGACTTTTGGAGAACAAGGGGATTTTATCACATCCCTCTTGTATGAGCTGCTGCAAAAAACCCAGAAGAGATCCTGGCATGGGCTGATGGACTTGCAGACAGACACAGCAACAAGTCTCACAGAAGGACAGGAGCAGGGACAAAACACCCTGGGACTGCAGGTCCTCCTTTACCATGTGTTCAGTGACAGTTCATCCTGCAAACACTCCCCCCCCAAATCCAGCCCCCTCAAAGCTGATGATGGACACCAACACACAAGGCAGTGTTTTATAGTTATCAGCCTTTCCCAGGACACACACTGAGTCTGGATTAGCTGGATCAGTCTGCTGGGAGAACATCAGCCCCTCTCCCATTGCTGACAGTGATTTAGGTCAGCAAAGCCTCACCTGAGCCAGGAAACATCACTGCTCATGTTCATCTGCCCAGGAGGAGGTGCCTCAGCAAGGAGAACTCCTCTTGTCACTGTCACACAGTCATGACAAAGTTGTTCCCAGCACTCCTGCACTGGCAGCTCTATAGAAAATTTTCTTCACCTCAGCTGCAACCAGAGTTATTTCCTCTCAGGGGCTCAGGACTTGAGCCACAGCTTTTTAAAGAGATGAGGCATAAGATACTTCTCCTTTTGGGAAGCTGATGTTTAAAAATCAGAAGCTATAGAATCACAGAGTGGTTTGAGTTGGAAGGGACCTTAAAGGCCATCCAGTCTCACCCCCTTCCACTAGCCCAGGTTGCTCCAAGCCCTGTCCAACCTGGCGTTGGACACTGAGAGGAATGGGGCAGCCACAGCTTCTCTGGGCAACCTGTGCCAGGGCCTCACCACCCTCACAGCCAAGAATTCCTTCTGCCTCCACAAACACAGCTCACTTCTGGCTGCAGATGAAAAGACTGGGCAGTGAATTCAGAGATCATTCCATATTCCAAATGAATTTTTTAAAAAATTGACAACTCAGTTTCCTGTGATCAGACAAATCTGTCCATCAGCTTCACCCTCTGTCCACTGAAAGGAACCTTCCTGCGTTTTCCACATCCTGGTTTGGTGCAAGGAAACTTCTTCCCTCAACACGTCCCATTCCTTTAACATCTTGGTTCTTTAGAAAGTGCTTTTCTGTACAATCAAAATTAGTACAAAAAACCCAACTCACTGGCAAAGTAGAAAGAAGGGCCTGTCTCCTTGCTGTATGGTATTTTGGGACATGCTGAATTTGGGAAATAGAAAGGTAAATTAGCCTCTTGCCACGTGCATACTTCCCGTCCTCTGGAAAGGTCAGTGTCAGTTTTAGGTATTTTTAAAATTTTTTTTTAAGACTGTAGAACCATGCAGATAATTTATTTACTTAGGTGCTATTAGAGCTAGATATTTAGTTTTACAAATGAGTGGAGATGAAACACAAGTCTCAAGTAAGCCTTCCTTTTTAACTGTGACACTGAGGTCTGCAGTTCTTAATTAAGACTTAAAATAAACTTTATGGTAATTCATGGTCTCTTACAGTCCACTGTAATAAGAAGGTTAAAATGTAATTACACTAAAGCAGAAACTGGCCCCTTGCTTTTTCACCTATAGCACTGTCATTCTGAACAGTTCCAAGACACCTTTGGTGACTGGTTCACTCTTAGTCCCTGGAGAATCCTCTGAAGTTTATATTTTATCCACCATTGTACTATCAGGGTAATAGAATTTACTCTACTGCTGAGACAGAAACCAGATAAAGTTAGAGACAACACCAGACCAATAAAACATATGCAGAAGGGGAAAGGGGAAGGGAGAATGGGGACAGGAATGAGAGCACAGAAAACAGGAAATGCATCTGTGTAAAACCAAGGTCTGGTTTTACACAAGTTCTTAAACACAAAAGTTAAGTTTTTCACAGGACTCCAGCAGTTATCTGGAAACAATTCAGCTACATGGAAAACTAACACAAGTATGGACAGATCTACCCTTTACTTGGATAACCACATTTGCTACCAGTGGCAGAAGACTGGTTTGGTCTTCGTGTGACACACCAAGGAACCAAACTGCAAACCATGGCCAACAACTCCACCAGCCCCACACTGGGAGGCCACACAGAGCCAACAGCTGTGAGACAGACACACAGAATGTTCTGGAACCAACAGCTGAGCAGGGTAAGAACAACACCTCCATGTTCAGGGGGGTGAGTGTGGCACGTAAAGGTGTGTGCACTGCTCTGCTCCAGCACCACAAACTTCCCCAGACAAGGATGGCTCCGGAGCTGAACTGTGTCACAGACGTGTTATTGCCTGGCTGGGAAGAAGCTGCTTGGACATTGTCCTTCCCCACTGTGTTTTGAGGGGAAAAACCCAATGATTTGAACACTCCTCCATCCTGTGTTTAGCTGGATTTACTGGGACCATGCTCTGCTTCTCTCTTGTCAACAGTGGGTTGTGACACTGGAACGACTGGCAAGGAAATCCCAGAAGTGCAAGAATATCCCATTAAACAGCATCAGACAAAAATACTTTTCCTTAAAATGGAAGAGTGCTTATCAACAAGTGTAGGTCACTGATGTCGGATTCAGCCATCTCTCCACGACAGGAAGGAAAACAACCCCCAAATTTTTCAAGGTTAAGGCATCAACAGGGATTTCTCTTCACTGGTAGGTTGTTACTATTTGCCACAGACTTTCAACTTGTCCCAAACCATTAGTGAAGGTGGAGTTTCTTACCACAAAATGTTTCACACCTTAAGAATAGTTGATAAGCAGTGCCCCCCAACCCCCACATCTCAGAGTGGTTGTCCTTGCAAACATCTTCCTTTACCACATATGCAGGAAAAAAACTGAGTGAATTTTGCAAGAATTAACTCAAACAAGCACCAATACCTTGAAGGCTAAAAGGGCAGCATGGCCCACTGAATCCTGGTATCAATGGGGGGTGTTAAAAATAGGTAGTAATATATTTTTTAAAAAATCAAATAGTGATTTTAAAGAGCCAAAAGGGAAATTGTTTGAGCAAGTGCTCCAGAAATCAAAAGCAGCAGTAGTGGTTCTTTCTCAGGAAGTTGTTATTCTGTACTTTCAAATTACTTTTAAGAGAGGACCAGCATCAAAGTGCATGGGTGTATTTAGTTCAAATGCGGGTAAACTTAAATTTCCCAAAACACAGAACATAAGTTATGGATACGTTCTCATAGTCACTCAGGCAGATGTGAACGATTCCAGCACGTTGTTCTTTAGCAACAGACTCCAGAAGCAGCTCAGATTTATCACCTCAGGCATTCCTGCATTTTCCCAAGTGTTCACATATCGATAAATGAAGGTGGAGTGAACATGTCACAGCTGGACACACTTTGAGGAAGCACAGTCCATCTGGGCAAGGTCTTCAAGCACTCAGCACATGGAAGACTTGCAAAGATCTGAACTGAAATGGTGCTGCAGAACATCAGGAGTCATCCCATGTGTAACTGTCACCTCGGTGGGTTCAGGGTGCATTTGACTCAATTCATATTCAACCAAACACAAAAAAAAGTGTATCCTACAGAGTTCGTGATCCAGCTGGGTTGAATGGTTTCAGTAACAAAAATTTCAAGCACTCCATCATTTACTGGAAGGTGGGAGAACGTTTAGAAGAGTCACCAAGTAGCTACTTGAAAGAGCACAGGAGGACAAGCCACTTCTGTTAAATTATGTGCTCTGGGGAAAGGAATATTTAATTACATGGAAGGAAACACCAAAGAATTCTCAAGTTTGACCCAACTTAGTTCCTTGCACTGGTAGGTAGTCACATACCTACAACAGACAAGCTGCAAAACCAACACAAAATGAGATCTAACAGTTGTAAATTAGAATATCAGTGAAAAAACTATTTAGACATCTGATCAAAGCCAGCCAAGGGAAGGGGCTTGTACTTCAATGTTGTAGAACCCACTGATTACAGAAGATAAGGATGGTGCACAATTGCTAGGGAGTCACATGCAACCATTCTCAATCAAATCTCCGATTATCTCATGTTTGGTTTTATTTTAATTAGAATTTGAGAGGAGAGTTTTCACCAATAAAGGTCTGAAAGCCTTTGATCATTCACTTTATCGGAATTCTATTTAATCTAATGAAAAAGCAAACAGAAGATCTGTTTATATGGACACCTCAAGCACAAGAGTTGAAAAGATCAAAGTAATACAATTAGCAAGGACCTGTGAGAGAAAGATTAATTTCTACAAGTAACTTCCATTTCAGCTTCAGCACAAATGAGCTCAAATTCTTTCTCCAAGCGTCAAAAAAAGGTTTCTCTCTGTTACTTTTATTTCTTAACTCTCGTTACCATCCCACTGCAGAGATCTGACAGGATGTTCTCAGCTGGGTAAGACATTTTTTAAAGTCAGAATTCATTTCACACTAAACTCCAGATTCTTACTTTGTAAGTTTTCATGACACATCATGGACTTGCATTAAGGATCAGTGTAAAACTAAGCACCGAAAACATACAGAGATGTCTAAAGGTACAGAAAATCTTTTATTAGAATCTAAGTCAATATATATGTGACCCAATAAAACTTTTCCTCAGATGCTATAACAAGTATTGAAATGCCATGTTTTCAAGAGACCATCTGCTGTTTTGACATTTTATGACAATTCCCAAGCCTTTAGCAACCTTGACTCTACCTCTTTCAATAGCATGTTTTGCAGGGAGGTTTTTTTTTCCTCCAAATTGGGCCTTGATTTATCATACATTTATAATGCTTTAGAAGTTCTTGCACATTTTACTTTGTCACAAGGTAACCCACATTTTCAGCACTTCACTGTAAGTGAAATATGCCCATCTGATAATGCTGGAGACTAAGTGTCAAAGTCAGAGCAACACATGAGCTGTTCCATAGACTTAGTCTTGACTTACCAAAAAAGAAAGGTAAGCAACACATGGTTTATTTTGCTTAAACAGCAGAGTTCATACTGTTAATAATGCCAGTAGTATCATAAAGACAGCATTTCACTAGTTGCCAGAACTAAAGTCAAGTTTGAAACTGAGGTCGTAGCCTTGCAATAAAACAAGTACTAATTATCATCAAGAAACAAACGAGGGATGATGGATCAAGAGCATCAAGAGAACTTGAACAAACTTCTTTCAGCAGATATTCTTTAGCAGCTCCCAGGTTGAAATCTCATCTTGGTCACTGGCCTCCTACTGAAATCAGCACACTTGAGTTTTCATCTGAACCAGTTTGGCTCAGCTTTCAATGCTTTGCTCATCAGCTTATGAAACATAAACCACATCTACTGAATGATACCCATGTTTGAAGGCTGAGATTAAGTACATCCCTGCACAAGGTAAGGACTTAAAAAGTTACATATAACACAAAACGTTTCCTACCATACATAGCATGTGTCTGTTCATGCGCACCGTACTGTGTTGCAGAGGAAGATACTAAACCCGGCTGTGCGTGTGCTGGTGGGGCCATCATCCTGGCATTGCCCTGTATTACAGGGCTATAAACATGAGGATGCTGCAGGCAAAAGGATAAAAAACAAGCAGACATTAATTGGGGAACCACCACAAAGAAACTCATGTCATCTAAACAACTGCAATGTTCGAAAGGGCAAAAGCTCGGCCTTACTCGAGTGCAGAGCAGCTGCTGAGATTATCCAAATCTAAGGCCTAGAAACTGACAAAAATTGGCATATTGAATTTTTGCCACTCTAATAATGTAGCAAACTTAGGTATGACACAGTATATTTATCCAGGTACACATGTATATTTAAAAGCTTTTCAAGTAAGGAGTCGACCAACTAGGTTATTTTTAGAGCACTTAACCAGGAGATGTGCTGGCCACGACCTAAAGAAATTCTTCAAAGAGCTAGAAAGTTGCATCAATAATAAATGCCAACTTCTAAGTTGTCCTGAGAATTTGTTACGACCTTAGAAGTTGTTCTGACCTTAAAATTTGTTCCAGGCTTTGAAGCACTCTACAAGCCCCCCAAGTGTGCTCCAGAACCCAGAAACTGTTCAGAGTGACTTATGACAGGACATAAAGGGGTATTTAGGTCTGAGTCACTTCATTATTTCTGGTTTTATGGATCAGGTGCATGAAAAGACTCTTACCTGAGATTGGTAGTGTGGCACATGCTGCACAAGAGGCTGATTAGGAAACTGTTGGGGACTATATGCAACATATTGTGTTGAGTAAGCAGGTGGAGTAGCTACAATTGGAGGGCCTGCTGCTGAGGCAGGATGCATCATGGTGCTCTGGTGGTGTTGGTCTTGCCGCTGCTGGGGCATATTTGGTACTAAAAAGCAAAGAGTTCCTCACATTAGAAACAGAGGATGAAGAATGATCACCTTCCTGAAAGGTTTTACACTATAATGTCACTGTGACCACGTGGAATATCCTCACCCCTCATCTTTAACCATCTACTAGGGCTCTAGCAAAAAGGAACAGCGTGAAAAAGAGTTTTTTATCACTGCCTTTGGGCCATATATCAGGCCACAAACCCAGCCCTGCTTTTATTGTGAAGGAAGGAGGAAAGAAAGGTGGACGGACAGAAAGACTCACAAGAATCAGCAATGGAAGAGAAAGGTTATTTCAGGATACCTAAATTAATAAATTTGATCCTGTCCCCTTCAAAAGGCTTAATTCACTCTCTATGGGAACTACTCAGTCACTGTTCCATCAACTGGAAATCTGAGTCTGTTAAAGTCACTCATGCTTATGGCTGAGGAGAGCAGAATAAAGGTCTCCATGCAGGCACAATTTGAGGTATTCACATCTTTTGAGCTCTATGCTACCCCTCAGGACAGCAGAAAGCAACTTTTAGGTCACAGACAACACTGAAGGGGACAAGACAACCTATAAGAAGAGGAGCAGGAATAATCAAGAGGGAAGAAAAGATGAAAAAAGCATAGCAGTGTAGTGTGGGACTGCCTGAACCATCCTGGTAAGTGACCACCCAACCCACAGCAGTGAGGAGCTTGGAAAAAACTAATTTAGCCTACAAAGCACTGGGCTTGAGAGCTCCAGGTGAGCTCCAGGAGAGCTCCAGCCTCCTGCAGTCAGGCTGCAACTACTAACTAAACTACCCCAAGCACCTGTAAACTCCACTGCAGTGGGCAATGTAGCCAGACCCCTTAGGGAGAGGAAAGGAGATGTCAGTAAATTCACTCACTGATGGTTGTATTTACTCTGCAAATCAACAATAGAAAGAAGTAAATACAGGAGGCAACTTGAACAGCATAAAGGCACTGAGCTGTAACCCAGGTAGCTCCCTCAGGGCTATGCTGCACACAGATGGATATGCAGAAAATACTGGAGCTTTAAAAAGGAATTCAGAATTGGAGCTGCCTCACACACCAAATGAGTACTCAGCAATGTACTTCTGATTAAAACAGTGCTACCAATGAAAAGATTTCACAGTGAAGTTACTGTGTTTTAACACAGAAATACATTGCAGGGGTTTGTCTTCCCTACGTTCATAAAGGCCACTTGTTTGCTTCTGAACAGCAGGATTGCTCTTGGAAACAATCTCCCCCTCCAGTGACTGGAGCTGCAGCACTGGATCCCGTGTTCAGGAAGCACTGGCTAACACTGCAAGAAGGAATGAACTGTGCAGAGTTAGAGCCTTCCCTGAAACAGGACTAGAAAAACACTCTTCTGTTCCTTCTCTGCCCTGCACAGGGAGCATCTCCCACATGTTCTGTCTCCACAGCCATGGGTGTCACTTGTTAAAAACATGGTATTGTTGGTCCAGCTGTTCATTAATGGGGTAGAAGGAACGCAGAGGAAAAAACTGGAACCAGCAGTGAGTTTTTTCCAGAAGAGCAGCAGAGCACACTCTTCCTGAAGAAAGACTGACTTTGCTTGTTGACAAAACCCCTCTATTAAAGCACCATTCAGTGCTGTAAATCAGAAGTTCCCTTTAAACACACCTATAATATTTATGAAATATAGGAGATGATCAGTTTACCCTAATGCTCCAAGTAACAGAGACGTTTTCCTGCTTGTCAAATCAGATTCCAAACCAAGCAACTCCCCATAACTCAAACTTAGCCTGTTTTGGCTGAATTAGTTTATCTAAAAATCCATTAGTATTTCCACTTACTTCCCTTCATTAAAAATAGCATTTAAAATATCAATCAAAAACAAATTAACATGGATTAGAAAGCACACAAAGAGCTCTAATTTCTCCATGCTGCATGCAGACTGAGAACCAAACAGGCAGTATTATTCTCACCTTTACCTGCTCTATATGTCTTGGCTTGGTTCACTGGCATGGGCGTCATGGGAATAGGATACAAAGGCTGAAACACAAGAAATTGAAATCATGACATTCCTTTAAAAAGCCAGGGTGTGTTGGGGTGGGGGCCCCACTCAGCTTTGATGTGTTTTACTCTGTTTTGTTACATGGTTTAGTGAACTCTGCCTAACCTGTGAGGTTTTCCTGGACCCCTGTCAGTAAGTCTGCACGGACAAACAACTCAGACCATATGGTTTGCAACAACCTGACAAGTAACGCTACCACTGCAAGTAGTGGACTAAATCAAACAGCTTTGTAACAGCTTTTTTTTATAAAGCTGTGTCAGGGGAGGAGGTTTAGGTTGGATCTCAGGAGAAGGTTCTTCCCCCCCAGGGGGTAGTCGGGCACTGAACAGGCTCCCCAGGGAATGGTCACGGCCCCAAGGCTGCCAGAGCTCCAGGAGTGTTTGGACAATGCTCTCAGGGACAGGGTGGGATTGTTGGGGTGTCCTGGGCAGGGCAGGAGTTGGACTGGATGTGTCTTGTGGGTCCCTTCCAACACAGGATATTGTATGATAACAGAGCTAGATTTGAAATCTCAGTGATACCCACAACAACCAGAAACTAGTGGGGACTCAGCTGGAAGCTGAGGACAACGAAACAGTTGCTTAAAGCTTAAAGAGAGTGAGACTGTGCTTAGAGATTAACACCAAATGGGAGCTGCTGGAACTGAGAAGTGTTTGAGACTATCTGAACATCCTGACTGAGGGAGCACTGGGAAAAGTCAGTATTTACACAGCTAAAACTTAACAACAATCTCACTTATATTTACAAGAGTAATACAAGCTGTACCACTTCACTGTTTTAACTCAGAGCTCCTCAGTTGGAACTAGATGATATTTCAGGTCCCTCCCAGCCCAAACCATTCTATGATTCCTAAGTCTCCTCAACGTCCTGGCAATCCCTGTGAAGTGTGGAGGAGTTTGCAGCACTTTACCTGCACGCCTGGACTCACTGGAACCGGGTACATCATATTTGGTGCAAAACAAACAGGCTGAGTGTACACAGGGGTTGGCTGCTGATGACCCACCATGGAGGGGCTGGGCTGAGCTTGTGGACGAGGGGAGGTTGGTGTAGTAGAAGGTTTCGGCTACAAACAGAGTTGAGCAAAGCACAGGGCAAGATTAGTCTGAGTACCCTCCAAGGAAAAGCTCTGCTTATCAAGATCTACTCAAAGGCAGCGTTAAACAGCATCAAACAACTTACTTGAGCAAAAGATCGAGGGTTGAACTCTTTAGCATTAGGATTAAGTGTTGATTTTCTAACTTGCCTAAACATAAAAAACAAAACATTAAGTTTGGCATTATTCCCTTATGAGCATATCTGCAATTAATAATGTAAGAAATACCTCATTTCCATCTGTGAGTCAGATTTCTGAGAACTCAAACACCACATGACATGCAAAAAACCACTCTTATTGACAGGGCTCTTACTACATTTATTCATAAATTTTTCCTGTTGTTGATACTAAAGCTCATGTGAGCCAGGAAAACATTTAAATAAGCTTTTAGACAACATATTACACATTCACACCAGCTTTTTCTACACAAGGCTAATTGTGCTTATTCTAAAAGGCATAATTACTCACTCAGAAGTATCCTTCTTCTCCTCTTTATCCTCTTTATCTTGTTTACTTCCAGGCCCAGATGTCTGCACACCTTGGGAAGTCACCTCAGGCCCTCGCTTTTGCTCAGAGCTGTTACTTATGGAAGGAGAAATACTGGGACTATTGGGTTTGCTACTGCCACCATTGGAGTTGGTGTTACTGCCAGGTTCTATGATAGATTCTTTAGGGGTGGATTCTGTCTTTTCTTTAACTACATCTCTTGATTTTTCCCCCTCTCGGGTTTTGTTTAGCAGCTGATCCACTGCATCTGAAGAGGAACTTGACTGTAACTGAAAAAAAACCCAAGGAATATATTCAGTAAATTGATATACAGAACTATGGAGAGACAATCTAATGCTGTCACATACACAGAGTAAAATACAGTCCCACAGGCCTCAATCATCTGGAAATGACCTTTTAAACATATATTTCCATTTCTACTAGGAAAGAAATCCATGAACATTGACAATGTTTAAGCCTGCACTGAGTAAGAAGCTGTTCAGCCATTCAACTGACCCATATGTTGATTAGGGAGTGACAGGAAAGCTTAGGACAACCCTCTGGACTCATCTGTGCTGTGATTTAACAGTAACACTTGAAAAGTTAACCTGATTTAATAAACCATTATGGCCAGGAAATAAGTAATATGAATTCATCTTCAATTTTCCTCAGCAAAACTCTTCATTTAATTTTGCAACAGCTCCTCCATATGGAGTGTGTGATAATTATTTGTACCTAATGATCAAACAGGTTTCAAGTCCTATTATAGTGTACAGTCAATATTCACATTTATGGGTATTAGGCAATTGTACTAACAAGAGTCAGCATTGATTTTCCAATATCTGGTATGAATTCTTACAGATATTTTCATAAATTAAGCACAAGTATAGAGACATGTTAACATATGTAGTGTATTCAATTCATTAAAATAATCTGGATGCATATGAGAATTATGACACAATTAACATAGAGAAACTTACCCTAAAGTCATTCTTAAATTTCTTTAAATCATCAATCTGTTTTCTATGCTCTGAAACAATTGGAGAGACACCTGCCAAATATAAGACCAACATTGTCCAGGCATTTCTAATACAAGAAACATAAATATATATATATGCAAATATATATATATATATATATATATATATATATATATAACACCTACACATTACTAAGTTTGCAGAAAGGTAATGTTTGCATATATAGAAATGAAAAACAGTGATATAAGTGCATTTGTAATTTGGTACAATTCCATGAGCAGACAGAAACACTCTGTGAAACCACAGCATTACATAACTGACTTATCTTTAGTTCTAATGCACCACACCAAGGCAGAAGCCCTGAGGTGCAGGGACTGCAGAACTCACTGAACACAAAGCAAAATGCAACAAAACCCCCCCAAACACACACTGCCAGTGTTTCAAAACACAGCAAGTAAAGGAGAAACACTGCTCAAGGTAAGCTTTATGGCTGGACTCCATCCTAAAGGTCTTTCCAACCTGAATCAATCCACGATTCCAAGTTCAAGGATGTGAAAAGATTTTTTTGAGAACAGTGAACAAGCAGTGTTGCATTAAAAAACAAATTTAAGGCATAGCAGGAAAATGCACAGTCAGAAAAACTGTGCTGGCCATGATGCTCACAATTCTTGTGAGCACAGCTCTGAGCAGAAACGCATATTCAGTCCAAAGGCAGCTAAAAACCAGCTCTGTGAGCTGGGAAAAGAGAGAAGGAAAAAGAAAAAAAAAAAGAAAAAACCAAGGGAAATCACACCATCCACATGAGCATCTCTACACTTTGTGCTGATGGAATGAGTCACAAACAACATTTAAAACTGTAGTCCTGCCACTTGACAACTGCACGACCAAATTTTTGCTGTAGAACTCCAGACTGTTTCCAAGTCTTCCTAAAAATGCCAACTAAAGAAGCCAGTACAGCAGGCTTAGTGTGCAGAATTCCTACAGCACTCAAGTACAACCAAAAGCTTTGGATACAAACCTTTGTTTTCAGGTTTAGGAAAACTAGGAGAAGTCTCACTTGGCTTTATATTCTCCTTGTTTCCAGTTGCAGAATTTTGCCTCTGGTCCTGAAGCCTGGTATCTTTAGCTGGAAAAGAAATGGCCCAAGTTATTCTCTTTTACACAACTCAAAATGACCAAGGAGAGATGGTAAGATAAAAAGAAGAGAGAGATTAAGCTTGATTTTAGCTTAAAAAACAAAAACCTTTGAAGTTACACGTTTTCTGCTACCTAGTTGGTGCCTGGAGGATCATCCTTCCCCCTTCCCCACCCTACTGTCTTTAAGCCAGATTATAAAGTCCCAGTTAAACTCATCCCTCTCATCATACACCAAACCTTGACTAGGCTGAACAAACTATAAACCAAGAGTAAATTACTTTCAAGTCCAAGTTCCTCAGACAGAATTTGATAACCATTTGAGAGTTCTTAGACATTTGACTGTGCCCTTGAATGTTGGTTTTTTCCCCCTATTTTTGCTATGTTCAAAATTCTCTCTGAAACCAGTGGCCTATGATTCTTTAAATTAGAAAAGAGCCAAGAACTCAGTTTGAAAAAAGAAATTCTCAATTAAGTCAGACACCTGTAAGCCCATCCTCCTTAAAGGGCACAAGAAATTAAGCACAGACTCAACAAAAAGCCTCTCTCCAAGCTTAGTTTCAAGCTGGCACCACGACAAAAGGGGAACTCACAGTAAAATTAAATGCATCCCAAGAATTTCCATTTTTTAGAAAGGAGTTTTGCTCTTTCAAGGCAAATTCCTTGCCAGGTATTAGGGAAAGGGAGAATTTGCAACCTACCTTCATTGGAAGGGGTGACTGCTCTGTTGGATGCAGGGCTGGCAGGTGTAGGAGAGGCAGCTGGAACAGGCATGGCAACAGATTCAGTGGGAATAGTACCAGGCTGAGGAGAAGGCAGAGCTGGTCCCATGGGAGTGCTGCTCTGCCTTGGAGACCTAGGCCTGTGTGTTTTAGGGGATAATCTCGGAACTAGAAACAAACAGGAAAAAACAGTTATAGGATGAGCTTCTTCAGCTGCTCAACAGTTTCTAAAATGGCTAAAAACATGCTTTAAAATACTTTTTAGAGTAACTGAAAACCTGTTTACCTTTCAGGTACATCTCCTAGTTCTTTACAACGCAGCATTTCAGATAAGTGGGGTGATTTCTCTGCAGATTGGCCCCTAATACACATCACTGCCCTCTCAGTCCCACTGTGAAGCTGCAAAATGCTCCCCAGCCCCCCCAGAAGTACAACTACAAGAGCTCACATTAACACAGTTTCAGGCAGAACACAAAAGGTGGGCAGGTCTCCACACAAACAGATGTAAAACATTTTTTTTAAAAGGGCTGAAAAAACCCCTCCATTTTCCGGCGTCCTCTTTTGGAGGTTTGCCAGCTGGAAAAAAAACAACACAGCCTATTGAAAAAAAGGAATAGTTGATGTATATTTTTGCCCCTGTGTTAAAGCAGCAAGGAAAGTTGTGTATTCTTTAAATAAGAAATTTAAACAAGTTGTTTAAACCTCCTGCTTCCTGCTCATCCCACTGTGGCAAGTTAGTGCTTTATGTCACATATTAACCCCCAGTGAGTGAGGAAAAAGAGAGGTAAGTGGTTTAACAGTCCTACTTGCATGTTAATTATATATAAAGTGGGGTGTGGGGAGCAAAGATGAATCAGAAATAATGCCAGAACACAAGAGTTTAAATCTTTTCCACAAGGCAACAGGTCTATGTGGGTCTAATTCATATCTTCCTTCTGAAAAATGCATTCCCACTACACTCCTCTAGAATTCTGCAGTGCTAAGAGGTACCCAAAAAGGATCTAAAAAGGACCAAACTGTCTCTCACTTGCCCAAGGAAACACTCAGCTGCTCACAGCCCACTAGAACATGGTCTCAACCTAAAAGCTCTGGACTAGGGCCTGTGTCACAAGACTGAGCTTGAAAAGTCAAATATTCAAAAAAAACCCATTAACTGACTCAAAAAAAAGGAGACACTGACTACAGCTGCTCCTACAGCAGACAAGAACAACATCACCACTTAAAATCCATGTAATTTCTAAAGGAAAAATATAACCAACTTAACTTGAGCATCATTTTAACACCAACCTTCCTCTATGCAAACACCTCCTTCAAAAAACCACAGCCCAGCTGCACTGCCACTGACCAAACCCAGTGATGCCATGGAATGTATCTAACTTCTCCTGCCTCCTCGAGTAACTCTCCTCAGAATTAATCCTTTCAACAACTAATTCCCACATTTTTCCTCCCTTTCTCTTCACACACCACCTGGCCCTGCAATTAGGACAATCCTGCACTTGAAGGACCAACTCACCAACTCTTTTACTGGGAACATCCTTCTCCCACTAAGCTAAGTCAGCCCAGGATTTGGTTATTCAGAGCCTGAATTGTCTGGAAAGGCAGGATTCTGCTGAGCATTCCCACTCTAAGGTCCCCCTGCAAGCCATCTGCAATAAGCCAAGCTTTACCTACCCCCACTGACAACTGATGACCACGTCCCACCTGAAGGGCTGCCTCGTGCCACTGCAGCAGTAGATGCTTCCCCAGGTGCATTATGAGATACAAATTCTAAGCCACTTGAAATTGTACCCCTACCAGTAGAGACTCTGTGACCTCGAGGGTGCCGTTGAGCCTTAGGAGACATCCGTGGAGGCCCTGGGGAAAGAAAAACAACCCACACAGTTAAGTGAAGCCCGGCACCAGGAGTATCCAAACATACTATCTGCTTTTAAAACTGGATTTCATCTCATAACTCTCAAAAACATACAATGTGGTCTTCAAACTTGGATTTCATCTCGTAACTCTCAGTAATTCAGTAATAAAGTCAAGCAATTTACACTGACATCGACTAGAACCAGGGATCCACCAGACTAAAAAGGCCAAGCCATTGGTCCAGCCAGGCTGCCAACACTCATCACCTTGCTAGGTCAGCTCTAAATGGATATTTAGAAGCTTTATCAGCCTCGAAATAGGTGTGCGAGTCCTGCATTTCAAATATTTGAATCCAAGCATCCAGCAGTGCTTAGTGCAAGGGTTGGTGGCCCAGCTCGCCCTGGACAAGCGCAATTCCAATGAAAAATTTCCAGTGCTTTTGTCAGGTGGGCAGTGATCCCAACCATTTACAGTCCCCACGGGCTGAGCGATGCTCCGGGGGAATTTGAGCAGGGCATTCTGCAGCGAGGCTCAGCGGCTGCAGCCACTGCCACAATTCATTCACGAGTCAGCAAAACTGCAACTGAACGAGTGATTGTTGTCCCAAGGTTCAAGTCATGCATGTTTAACACCAGGAGCCAAAGCCATAGGAGAGTACAGGAATTCTGAACAGCTTCTGCAGCTGCCACACAATAGTTAAGCTCAACTCTAAGCAGCAATATGGTTTTTACATCCTAACAAACGTTTTCTTTACCAGATCAGACTCAAATGTTGATACTTGAAAAGGAAAAACTTTGTGAACAAAACATGATCTGGTTGATTTTTTTTTTCATTTTTAATGTAGGTCAATAATAGTGGAAAGTTCAGATAATGGCTTTTTGGTTTCAGATAAGGTTTTACAATATGAAGCATCTCTCTGGTTACATAATCTTTAAACGTCAGCCTCTATTTTACCCATGAATCTCAAGTACACTTCAATCCAAATTATATACAGGTGAGGATTTTAAAGAATACACATTTCCCAGCAATAATCTCCTGGCAGCAGGAATTAAACATTGCAGTAAGCAGCAGTTCAGTGCAGGCCTGACAAATCAATCACAGGGGCTAAGAAAATAATTGAGTTTGCAGGTGGATTCTCAGTATCTGACTATATAAAAAGCCATAACAAATGGACAATAGGAGGCCAGACACGTGACCATCATCCACTTTTTGGTCATGGACCACCCTAGGCATTTATCAGGCTGCAGAACAGTGTTACTGCTTCAGTCAGTGGGATGATTGTTCTCTCACAGAACCAGTTTGCATTTTCCAGGCTTGCTAAACAATGCTGTGCAGGGTTTATTTAACTGCACTTAAATAAAAATTGTAAAACGTGATCATTATTGTACCTTGACAGGACAAATTTAGTTCAGATAATTCTGCACACAGTTACCACAGACCCACAGGTCAGCCCTGCTCTGTGTATTATTGACTGCTAAGGAGCTGATTTATTGTTCTGATCGGTGTAAACAGATCTAAAAATTCCCTACAAATTCACCTTTGAAGCAGCTTATCCTATCCCATTCCACAGTGTACTTCTCTGAATCCAGCATTTTTATTATCATTATTACTGTTGGTTGTTTTACATGCTTCATTATTATTACATGCTCATTATTATTGTTGGTAAGTCAATGATTTTAGTTAAATTTGAAACTGCTTTCTGTGGAACAGCTGTGTTAAAATTGATATTTTATATACATTTATAGTCAGAAAATAAGAATAAAAGTAGTCCTAAATTTATTCCTAAATTTGAAATGTCTAAATTTGAAATATCTAAATTTTAAATGTCTAAATTTTAAATGTCTAAATTTTAAATTTCTAAATTCTAAATTCCTACATGACAATTTCCAAACGGAAATTTCTAAATGTAAATTTCCAAATGGAAACTTCTAAATATAAATTTCTAAATATACCCTAAATTTTAGTTCTAGAAATGCTCTCTAAAGTTATCAGGTCCTGTATGTTGCTGTAGGTTAAGTTAAGACACTGAGCAGCGTTTCCAAAGCTGAGTTTAATTTCATACCAACTTGGGAAATTTCACAGCTTTCTTTTCTTTTTTTTTTTTTGTTTTTGTAAAGCTCTTCAAATTAACACAAACGAAACAAACAAAAAAAAAAACCAAAAAAGGTTAATAGAAACAAGTCTGATCAACTAAAGTTAAAACACAAATTATAGGTTAAGTAATGAAGAGGAAACAAAAAAATAAAACCAAAATAAAAAAAAATAAAAATAACCACAAATTTTGTCAATTAAAAACTCACGGAGGAGTTATAAACGAAGACAAACGAGAAAAAAAAAAAACGAAACAAAAAAGAAAAAAAACACCCCATGAACAAATTGTGGTATTGTACCTTCTGAAGACATGCGTTTAGGCATAGTAGAGACAGGAGCTGGAGAACCATGAGCAGAGGGGTGAGACGGGGGCCTGGAGGGCCGCGAGGGGGGCCTGGAGGGCGGCCGTGTAGGGGTGGCTGCCCGAGGTGGAAGAGAGTTGGGACCTGACTGGTAGCGAGAAGGTGGGCGAGAGGAAGGAGATGGGCAAGGCGATGGCCAGGGAACACCTGACAGAACAAATGATATGAAGGAAAGTATAAAAACTAAAGAAAAAAAATTATGGGGGGTTGGGGGTCTTGGGGGGGGGGGGGGGGGGGGGGGGGGGGGGGGGGGGTAGGGGTTGGGGGGGGGGGGGGGGGGGGGGGGGGGAAAGGTCAAAAAAAAAAAAAAAAAAGTAAAAATATGACAAAATGATTTTGCACGTTTAACCCTTTGGGGATTGAGTTTGGCAAGAGGCTCTGCGGGGTTGTTTCCACCACTTTGGGTTGAATTTGGGGTCGGAACAGCACGAGCTCCCCAAAGGGTTAATTAGGATCTACAAATACTACTAAGGAATAGACAGTAAAGTTTGATCTGTTAGCCTGACATATCAATGCTCTACAGCACCCAGCACTCACCAAGGTCCTTAACAGTTACCAGAGGGTCTCAAACAGCTGGTCACAAACAGCATAACTACACAAAGTGCTACTTGCAAACCAAATGATGAGCAATATCCAGCTAGGAACTGTATCTTTACAAAAAACAGCGGTGTTCAGTGTCTGAATCCTGACATTTATGCCTTTATCAGTTATCTCAAGTATTAATGGAGGATTTTAATCTAGGGGTTCATGGTTTCATATACAGGGTTCATGGTTTCCAAAACAGAATTAATTGAATTTACAAGCCATTCTGAATATTTTAGGTATATGATGTTAATTCAGCAGAGTAATAGGATGACAGAAACCACAAATACTACGGAAAAATTTCAAGGTTAGCATTGTTTGGGCAAGGCTCAGTTGTCCATCCCTTATACAGCTGACTCTGTCTTTAAAAAGGAAGTCTCACTTACCTTTAGATGCTTCTCAGACTTCCTCTCCAGATAGATCACTTGAGTATTATACATTTTTCATTTATTCACAGCAATTTCACAGAACAGGATTTTTAACTTTTAAGAATAATGCCTCAAGGACAGGCTACTGCTGAAAGCCACCTCAAAAATGGTGGTTTTGGTTTATGCAACACCAACTCCTGCTACGCAGTGCCCAGTGATGTCTGGTTAGTTACTACCCATGTGTACAGCAGAAAATACTCAAATACCCATTTGGAGGGAAGGTTTTTCCTAACACTTCTCTTGTTTCCCATCCTACATCATCATAAAGTCAGCAAGTTGCTTTATTCTTTTCCATGGGAAACAAAACTGATCCATGCACCAGACAGGAAGGGAAGCTTCCTCCTGCCACCCCCCTTTCACTGGGTGTCAGCACTGCTGCTCCTCCACACAGAGCTCTGCAGTGGAACACAGAAAGCAATTTTTAATCTTTAAAACCACACTCTGCACCATCATCTAAGACAGAGGTGCCTGAGAAGGAAAACAAATGACATTTCTGCTCTGCAAAGTACAGTGCAGCTAAATGCAGTTCCACTGTAAGTTAAACCCCAGTCCAACTCACCACCTCCGTGTTAAATGATGGATGCTACCCTAGCTTGTGGAATACACATCCTAAACTCACTCCATGTGCAGTTGCAACATAATTAGGCAATTCTCTGCAATGTTATAATGTACATTCATTTAGACTTCAGATACTTGCCTCCGTTAACTACTCTTTGATCTGCTCCAGAGTTTGGGCTGAATTCTGAAGTGTGGGATCCAGACCTTGAGATTGGTGGGCCTGAGCCAGACTGGCCCATCCTTGGTGAGTTTTGTCTTCCACTTCCCCAGGACAGGACATCTCTGTTCCTCTGTCCAGGCGGAATGTATTTATTTTCTCTGAAACACAGCAAACTTCTATCAGTCTTAAGACAGAACTGAGGCACCAAAAATACCTGATGGAGTGCTCTGCTGGTATTTTTTAATCTTTCTCAGATCAAGCTAAAGGAAAATATTAAATACTATCAGATGTTGACCTAACAGTCACCTCATGAATTGGCTTTTGATAGTGACCACACAGTCCACTTTATGAGCCCCCAGACACTGAAGGATTCAGTTGTAATGCCTGAAATTCTCCATGACATACCCAAACCACTGCCCTTTCCTGTAATCTGGTACGAATTCACCATGGTGACAGATCAGAATGGGGAAGTCTGTTCCCTACAGAGATAAAGCAGGGCCAGGCAGAGGTGTACAAGTTAGCCTGGGTGCCAAAACCAGCACAGGATTGTTTACACAAGGTTCCCAACCTGATCAGCCCTGCTGGAAAAGCTCAGTTTCAATGAGCAAACTGCTACAGTCCCAAAACACCGCCATAATTTAAATAAAAATACTATTCATAGTGTATCAAGTACCTAGTGTTCACACCATGTCCTTCTCTTTCATTAGCATTTCTCTGAACAGCAGTATATTTTTCTTCTTCTGTCCTTTCATCATTTTCCAAGGCAACCCGAGCTTTGTATTGGGCACTTGATTCAATTTCCTCTGCTAATTGAGTTGCTCTGGCTTCCCGTTTTAAAAACTCTTCTGAATTATCTCTTTCTAATGGCACCCTAAAAGACAATGGAAAGGAAAAGAATCTCTGAAATGCATTCAAAAGCACAAAGGAGCTACAAAAATTACACAGTGTTAGTTCTAAACAAGTCAAGAGTGAAAAAAATCTTGCTTTTAAGCCAGCAGACTTGCTGTCTTTTTTAGTGTGACAATATTCCTGGACTGGTTTGATATTATGTGCAAATTCAGTGTCTTTTACCTGCCCAGAGAGCTGAGGTCAGAGAGCAGAACTTTTCCACGTGACTTGCAAAAGCCCCAGTCTCTAAAGCTGTGCAAAGGCTCCAACTTTTAACATGGTTGAGAACATCAGGAATAAAAAGCATCAGTCTGTTGTCTGGATAGGAAGTTACTCCAAGAGCCTAAATTTAAATTTTTTTAGCTATTTATGCATTGCCAGCAGACACAATCCTGCTGAAATTAGAAAGTTACATCCTTAATCCTTTGGTAATTCCAGTCACAGAATTTTCAGCTCTTCCTGAAAAGATGAGTGCAACAGTTCAGAGCACAGGACCAGAAGTCCATGACTTCTCATGTCTCAGGACCTCAAACCCACTCATTCTATGTATCCCTCTATAGCAGGTAATGGCATATTGCAGAAAGTATCCCTTGGGAAAGGCACTGAGTCAAAATTCAATACATGAGCACTGAAAGACATAACTAGAGATGGGATTGTACCTGGCACCTCTTTCTGTCCATCCTTCTTGTTTTTTACCTGTCCTAATTTTTGTTCAAGTGTCAGGTTTTACAAAACCCCTTTTTCCCCCTGATTTTGAGCTGCAAAAGTTGTTCCATCCAACCTTACTTTAGAATAAACTCCATAAAAACACAGACCACAGCTGAGGCTTGGCCCATGCTCTGCTGGGCATTATATAACCACTACTGCTCATATTTTGAATCATATACAGAAGAAAACCGAAGAAAGTAGAGGGAGATACAAGCCAAGTATGTAATAATATATGCAAAACTACTCAAGTGTTGGTGGCACAACTAGGAAAACAAGTGGTTTTGCCAAATTCCAAGCCAGCACTCGGCCACTGCATCGCAAGTTTTTTCCCCACACACATATTTTTGGCCAGTCAAGACATCTACTGACCTTATCAATGGGAACTGTAAGAATATTAAATCAAAACCTTGCCCTTCAGCATAAAGCCTTGGCTCAAATAAGGTTTGCACGAACACAAACCTGGTCATGAGCCTCACTGACCTTGTGTTGGGAACATAAGGAAGGAGAATACCCAATAATCCTCATTTATCTAAAGTGACTGAAGAAAAGGAAGGGATATACTGCAACCTAACAGGCAAAGATGGATTTTGTGTTTTCTAAGAGATGAGAGAAAGGGGATGGACAAGATGACATTGTTCAGAACCCTGGTGATGACAGAAGCAGTTGATTAATACATTTACTGAACCCAAACTTGTACCTTGATGCAGTTTGACAAACTATACCTGCTAGTGCTTAGCTCTAGCAAGAGAAAACAATCAAACAATAAATCCTTTACAATCCTGCAGCTGCACATCTAAGCATTTATCAACACTGTTGCTCATCACAGAGTTGGAAAATCAGGAAAAGAGCCTCCCAGTTGCAAGTTGCTTAACTAGGAAAAAAAATGGAATTAATTTAAAGCCACCTTCATGTTTTTAATCTGTTTCCATTAATATCCAGAGAGCAGAAAGATGGAAGACTAAAGTTCAAAAGTACAAAAAGTACTTAGAGCAGTGAAGGGAAGGAAAGAACAGCTTCCCCAGGATTCAAACATAAGCCGATTAGGACACTTTGATTATCACCATGTTACAGGTCTGTTTGAACCAAACAGGAAAATCAAACTGCTGAACCAGAGACCTGTAGACAAAGTGCACACCAAAAAATCAAAATATCCACTGCCATTCCTTGATATTCAAAAAGAAGTTTCTGCTCTGGGGGTTAAAAGAGTGGGGAAACACTAAAGACATTTCACAATGGCTGCTGAACATCTGCAGTCCATTTGTGATGCAGTTGCAGTGAACATTATAGCTGCAAACTATTGGGAATAAATCCACACTGCCAGAGCAGCCAGAGCAGGCTTTACACTACTTCTATATCACAGTTTTTATACTATTATTTATATATTAATTTTATAATTTATATTATATATCAAGATTGTCATTTATATTTATATTCCAGTTATTATATTGTAACTAAAACTTTAGTTTAGAGCAGGACAAGTCTGCTAAACAAGTCATCCCCAGCACACAATCCCCCCCTCGGTTATCAGCAACTTTTCCACATTCCAGTATCTTCCAGATCAATTGTCCCAATAAAATTAGGATTTAGTCAAAGTGCTCTGCTGGGTTAAACAAAATCTATAGGTACAGCAGCTACACAAAGACAAACTCCCAGTTTTCCACCCTATTCCTGGAATAAATAAGCATTATTACATGCCTAAATTCAGCAAACATTGCAATGGGAATGAGTTGTGCCCATTTAAGGGAATATATAAAGATTTCTACATCAAACTATTCACAGAACGCTGGCAAGGTTTCTTAAGCACTATTCATTCATTGCTTTTTCAGTTATTTGAGTCCACAGCTTCACAAACTATGCAAAATTAGCTGCAGAATGTAAAGTTTGTCAAACCAGGGAGAACATTAAATACAAATCTAATAACAAAATATTTTGGAACTTACGTATAAGAAGATAAACTGCTGTCATAAGTTGATACTACACCATAATTTTCTTCATTGTAACGAAACATGTCATTGGGATCCCATCCATTAGACTAGAAGAAAATGATGCTTGTTTTTCAAAATGACACTGGAAACACATTCCCTTAAAATTAAGGGCTGATGGCAGAAGTTAAACCTTCTGCCCTCTTTCCTGGGCCTATGAATTCACTGTCCAGATAACAAAGTTATAAAGCCACAATTTGCTTTGTGGAAATTTGCTCATAAGATGCAGATTTTACCTTCAAAAGCCAGTTTTTGGGTGTATTTGTGTGGGTTTTGAGGGTTTTTTCTAAATACATACCCACTCTATACTAGAGTGATACTGGTTAGCAAGAAATGCAAACATTAATGTCTTTTTGTCTTTTCCAAAAGGTGCAAATTGACACTTCTGACTATTAGAAACATCTCTTGTTGTGGCAAGTGCTGCAACTTTTCAAATGCACTAATGTAATTACCTGAGACCCAGCACAGGTTCAAGACTCCTGTTGATCTGCACAACCTCCCCCCTTCAGTAAAATTGCTATTGCAGCACCCAAGCACAGCAAGAAATGTTTTGAATATTTTATAAAAGCACTGACAGTATTGAGTGTTCTAATAAATCCCAATAAACTGACAGGAGAACTGTTCTACCCAAATATGCTCCACAGTAACAGGAGCAGATTCTCCTCTAATCAATAACATTGTTTAACACGCTGCAATCTGAATACCTTGCTAAAATAATGCATTCTTGAGTAAAAGTTGGCTATGATATATAAAGAAATGGCACTGGAGACCATACTCCTCATCTAATGGTTCATAATCTACTAAAATTGTATCTGTGCTTGGGTTCAGACTTTCATCCATTTCCCCATGTGAAGCCCAGGGACACTGAGCTGAGCACAATCTCCCCATCCTTTCCAAAAGCAGTGACAGTCAGGCAGGGATGCTCTGATTAAACATAAATCACTTTGCTGTATTGCTGAATTTGGAGGCCTTAACAAAAGCTGCTCTTTCTGCCAGTCCCTGAGCCCAACATGTCTCTCAGCACAGCAGCTGCCATTTGTCAATATTTGCCACGAGTGGCATTTGAAATCCAGCTTTTCTTATTCAAATTGCTAAAAAGTACTGTGGCAGCTGCTGGCAAAGACTGAACATCCACCATCACAGTGCAGGACAGCGATTTTACTCCAAAGTTCATTACTAGACTAAAATTAAGGAATTCTTTCAAGGCTTCCTTTCAGAGAGCACGAAAAAGCAACACTCACCACATCTGTCTCCAGTGCCTCGAGCTCCTCAGAAGCCGTGTTCTCTCCTCCATCCCATGGTTCAAGATCCTTTTCCTTGTGTTCTCCATTAACTTTAGCACTAATGGCTGAATCAGTAAAAGCATCTGCAACAGAGCAGGAAGGGATGGGGGTGAAATCAGCTGGAAAAGTATGCTGGTTTTTATCTGAGGAACAACCAAAAAACAGCTCAATTACAGGTTCAATAATCATCATTCCCCTTCTCTTGCAGCTGCTGTGGTCAAAAGGACATTAGAAAGGTGCCTACTTTAAATTTATAATAACTGTGGAAGTCCAGACTAACTTCTAATATATCAAAGAACAGAATTATTTTCAGTTATTTCAAAATATTTTACACCAACTACATGAATATTTGGGGAAAAAAAGAGAAAAAAAGACTGAGGATCCCTGTTCCTCTAGAAAACCCAAGGCTTGTATAATACAATTTTCCAACCAGCCCACGCAACTGCACACTAAAACATTGTGCAAATATCAAAAAAGCATGAACCCAATCCTATTCCCTGAATGGGTAAACTACAACTTTCCCTTCAAATATCTGAATTTTTTCTATTTCCACAACTCCTCAACACACCAACATGCACACACACATTCCCTGGGACATGAACAGAAGTATCTTCCCTCCTGACAAAGCTTTTCCAAGCAGCAACTCACCCAAATCCCACAGAAATATTCAGGAACTCTCTCCCTCTTGCTCCCACCAACATATGAAAATAAATAACCAGAAAGGTTCCACTATTGTTTAAAAAAATTATGAAAACATAAAGAAAAAAAAAGACCACAAGTTATTTTTTTACTTGTTCATGTTTCATTCAGGTCAGACTTAAGAAGGAATAATACCAGAATATTAAAAGTGCTGTATAAAAATATCTAAAGCCACTCACCAAGGAAGCCAAGCTTTTATATTTGTAAGCAACTATATCTCAGAGCTGCCATCCTTAAGCAGAACTTCAAAAAATCAAATTAGCCTGTTATAAGCTTTCAAATAAATAAATCAGCCTAATATAAGTAAGTCTTCAATCCAGAATTTCCTATTATCCTTTACTGATAAAATAAGGAGCAAACATTTCAGACCCTTAGAAAAGCTGCAATCAAACCACCAGGCAGTGCCAGATACAGAAAAACATGGCCTAAATTAACTTTTGGCAAGATCTAAAAATCTTCCTAAGAAAAATGGACTTTAAAGCTCTTATGAAAAGAATTCACAACATATGAGGTTGGTCACTGATGTAACAGTTTTTACACAATCACTGAAGATGTTCTAAAGAGAGGCTGCTGACACTGCTTATTATTCCTGTTTTACCCAATTTCACAGTGAAGTTCTGCATTTATTGGTATGATCTGGCATGAAAATTAACTGTGCTGAGCCTGTCTAATAACATCCAGCACTATCCCATGAAACGCTCACTCAATCCATACACAAAGAACTGTGGGGAAGCAATTAAACATTGTTAATGAGCTTATATGAAACAAAACGTGCCCCTGCCCTACCTATGTGCTGATCCCAAATTTCAATCACTTCAACTATCCAGAAGAGCTAAAAACCCAGGCTGACAACAGAAATCACCAACTAACTGCAAGATCCTCTACATGATCCTGCCAAGTCCCACATGCACAAACAAAGAGATTAACTTTCTGTTATATATTATGGGAACAAAAGCATTATGAAAGGCAAGATGCAGAGACACAGTGACTGCCAAAAATTACCTGTTTCTGAAGGAACTACAACAGATATGGAGAAAGGAGGAGTTGGAAGACATCAGATCCAAATTCAGGTGGAATTTTTTATATTATATGGCTGAATTCAAGCAGAGCTGAACTCTTGAGTTCCTCTCACAGAATTAACCAAACATCTCCCACCTTGCAAAGATCATTTTCATAGTAAAAACTCAGTAATGTTCTCACTATTAACATCCCCATTTTGCTTCACAAAGGAACCCAAACTCCTCCAAATAACCTACAGATTTTTAAGTTTTTTCAACTTGAAAACACCTCTTCACACAGAGACAAACAACTTCTAAAATATACTGTATTATAGTATATACTATATATATGTTCAAATGTCTTCTGAAACTACACAGCAACACAGTGCTACAATCCACAGTTAACGAGTAGCTAAAAAGCACATTTTTAAGGCTCTTTTATTTGGAAACTCTACATGTACCTTTTCAATACCCTGTAGTTAATTCTGCCTTAACCCAGACAAACCAGAGCTGCTCCTGTCCCAACCATTGTTAATTCAGTGTTTCAGGTCTGATCCACTCAGATTGGACGTTTTACAGCAAACGAAAGTTGGAGGCTGCTCATGGCACTTTGAAAACTGTGAACTTTGTTTCTACCTCTCTGGGAGTAGAGGGAACTCTTCTCCACTGAGATTAGATAAATATGAGTTAGGAGGCCTAATGGAGACAATCTGTGTTTCACAGCACAGTTTCCTTCATTTCTATTAAATTCCTTCAGGCAAACTCCATACAACTGTGCCATTTTGGATACAGTGAATAAAATACCAGCTTAACAAGACTCATCTACTCAACCCACTAATTTTCGTATTTAAACAGCCACATAAACATCCAGCAGTGCTGTTATTGTAATGACACAGATGAACTGAGGGAAAAACGAGTCAAAACAAAAACTCCTCTATCTACCAAATGCTACAGGTCTGAATAAGATGTGTACAGTCACTGCTCTGCTTCCTAGTAGAATCCAGTGCATCATGGGGCACAGGAACCTTCACTATGCTGCATTTCTCATTTTAGAATGACAGTCACAAGCGAGACTGCACCAGTTTAACCTCTACAACTCAAAGAAAGTCCAGAGTTAGGAGAAATTCAAGCTACAAAGGCAGACTTCCAGTCAGACAATATGGTCTCCAGAGCATCCAGGCAAAGTTTAAATGTAGCAGAACGGTACCTCAAGGCACAGATCACTATTTTCCTGGAACAAACAGCCTGGCAGACACACGGGAGACCAAGATTAAAAACCCAGCAAGTCAAACAAGCCTCCACCGAAATTAATGAGCAACAAGATTGAGAACGTATGTAAAAAATTCTAAAAATAAAAGTTTCCAAAACAAAAACACTGTTCTTATGATTATTAACAAAGTAGGAGCTAAAACATGAGCTGCTGCTCCAAGTGCTGACTGGCAGAGTAATAACAGACAAGACACTGCACAGGCTCAGCCTCCCCTTATCTGGTGCCTCTTATCTCTGAGCTGTTGAAGGAGCAATTCACATGACACCTTGACACGGCCAAATTTTTAATCAATCCCTTTTCTACACCGTAAAACCCAAGTTAAAGATCAAACAAAACCTGGTGAAACAAAGGGCTGGAGCTGTAACACTCAATTAGTCCCCACTGCCTCTGTACCTGCTTAATGTGACATTTCCTAAGCAAAGGAGTTGGGTATCAAGGATCTACTTCTGTTTTAAAGCCTGGTAACTGGAAAAAAAATTCCAAGGACAAGAGAAAATCACAGTAACACAAATCAAAAATATACATTCTGCGAAAAACTCAGCTTGGGCAAATTCTTCAAGGATGTGCCATTAAATGAGTTAAAGAAAAAAGTGCCAGAATAGAGCAATTAGGAGTCAGGGTTTAATTAACTTCATTGTCCAATGTGCTCGTTCCCACAAACATATTTTGAGCTACTAATGGTGAAGAGCACAAATATGCAATTAAGTGCAAGTCTGCAGTTCAAATGCCATGAAATCCATCATTGCCAAAGGTGCTGATGCTCCCACTGAAGCTTTGATCAAGCCTAAGCAAGGCCCAAAGTAAACTGAGCTTTCACCTTAAAGGTTTCAACAGTAAACTCTCATTTGTTTTGTAACTACTTATTACTGATTTGAAACATTAAAACCAGTTACCACCAGCTCTGCTGAGCCAACATTTCCTTCCTTTGTTCATAAGATGCCTACTGCTATTCCCCTTGCAACACTTTCCTTGGAAGGAGGCCACTTGCAGTGCTAATTCAAGGAAAAGCCTTAACAGCCAATTCTCTTCTGCCTTGTTTTTCATTGCATTTGTGATATTTTTCTCAGAGTGCAGCAACAGAGCCAAAACCCAATAAAAACATTGTAGAAATCTTTTACTTTAACAGTAGTTATGATGTTTCAATTGTCTCATCTTTAAAGAGAAGCCAAGAAGGCAACTCCAAAGCCTTGGTGAAATTTGAATCATATGCAAACCAGCACTATCAGTGTTTAGGGCTCCAGGAAAAACTGCTGGAAGCTTCTTCTGTAAAACCAGATCACGCAGCAGCTCTGAGATCTCAGCACTCAAGAGGTGAAGCAGAAAGATGTGACGTGTTAATGCACAGCCCAGGATTTCAACTTGCACCTCAGAGCGGGTCTGGAGCAGCTGATTTCCAGTGCACGTGCAGAACTCAGTGTCAGTCCCAGTTTAAAGGCAGACAGAACAGTCTGAAAGGGGGTGATGGGTGTAACACAGCTTCACCTGAGTTTTCCAAAGCATGTGTCATTCATCAGCCTGTACTGCAGCAAACCTCAGTTCCACAGGGATCTCAGGTGATCCTTTCCATTCCTTCTGAAGCCTAACAAGCACCTGCACAAGCAGAAAGGTCTGTGCAGACTGACAGAGCTGCAAATACAGGCCTGGGAAGTGGGGACAGATTTATTTTTTAAACATTAACTGCTACAACACCCCTGTCCACACAGACCTAAAAGTTTTTCTCCCAATCCTTCCAATTTCTACAATCTGGGCAGACACCATTCTTTCTCCAGTGGTGCATTTGAAGGTGCAGTGTCATGCTTGGCACAAATGTACCTGTGCTGCTCCCAATTTCACCCACCCCAAGCCTGGTGTTCCCTCCCCTGAACTCTGATGCAGCTGCAGGACGAGTTATCAGCTCCTTCCCCAAAGCTGCACCGCTCTGATAGCACTGGGAGCTGCCTGGCAGGCTCTGCTGGATGGTTCTTCACACACAACTGTATTTTCCTCTCTTCTCCATCCCATTCCCTTTCTCCCTGCTGCTTTTTCCCAGTCCTCTTCCAGTCTCTATTGCCCAACTTGTGACTCAATCCAGTGAACATCTTCAGGAGTCTCTTGCCCAAACTCCTCCAGCCCAGCAGAGAACAAAAGCCAGATGCTGTACTCCAGATACTGTACTGGGAAACCAGGATGCACTAAAATTTTCAAAACACAAATTTCTGAAGAAATTTAGTTTAGTTCTAGGGCTCCCCAAAATTCCAGCAGCCTCCTAAGGGGTAAGAAACTACACACAGAGATCCCAACAAACCTTATTCCAGGTGAGACTGATAACAATCCCTACCCTAGGTAAGCCTCTCAACAGAGAGCTTGTGAAGTGCCCCTTTCTTGGACTACACTTTTAAAACAGAGAAAGCCTTTCCAATCAAATATTTCCAAATTGTCTCCTTACTTGTCTGTGAAAGCCAAAAAACACTGAGGGGTAGACAATTTAAAGGTATTTGTCCCTGTCCCACTTTGAGCACCAGGCAGTGACGGTTCCCAAGACAAGGAGTTTAGTTTCTCCTCACCCAGGAGTTTAGACTCAAGTTTTCACTGTGAATCACAGGCTTATCTGACCCACTGCCATGAAGATTTGGGTTTATTTACATGAACAAAAGGTCAGCAGTTCCTGTGTGCATGCTCACACACTTCCATTCTTTTGAATCCTTGCTTATTTAATTACCCAGGAAGCAGAAAGCCCCTCGTTTCTCTAATGTGAAGGTGTGATCAGAGTTACACTTTCAAGTGTCATTTCAAGATAACACATTTTTGAGACAAAATGGAAAGCAGATTAATTTACCCACTATGAGTTATCAAGTTTTGCAGCCTTCCAGTTTATCTTGCTCCAAGTCTCTACAGCTTTATTTCAACTCTCCAGTACTTAAGAGATTTACACTCCAAGATATTCCACCTAATAAAGTGAACTGAGGGACTGCTCGACCTGAAGCAGTCATTTTCTTCTAGAAAATGTCCATTCCTAGAAGCAGGAGCATATTTTTCCTTCAGTCTGTTCAAAATCTATAAAGACTGGATAAGGCAGAGGCCCATTTGCATTAACATTAAAGTGAAGTTCATAGCAGACCCATTATAAAACAGCTCTTGTGTAATTTAAATTCCAAGTCCCATCCAGAACCTGGAACCTATCTGCATTTCAATGCTACACTTGCTCTGACATTATGCATCATCTTCTGGGAAAAGAAAAATTCCTTGAGGAAAAAAAAAAAAACCAACAAAACAAACTTCTCATTCTTCAGCTTTAAATCAGGCAAGAACATCCACACAAGGTGAAGAGAGAAAGATCTCATTAAATGTCCTCTGTCCCTACACATCTCCAAGTCTCTGATAATGGGAATAAAACATGTTGCAATAACCACTGAGCTCCCAGAGAGAGTTGTTAATCAACCTGTAAATGTACACATATACAATTCCACCCCACACACAAAGCTGTGCATTTGCTTTTATTCTTTATCCCAGCAAATCAGCAACACAGGCACAAAAACCCTTCAAATTTGCTGCCCAAAAGAGAGAAATTTGCACAGGAATTGAGCTGTCTGACTTATGAGACTCTCGGGTTCCAGAAAAATAATTAGGGGCTTGGAGGTCACACAGTAAAAGTATGAAAACTGCCTGACTGTCTGTAAAATAATTTAATTTTGACAGTTTCAAGCCATGTCTTCAAGATTTTAAGATCTGTCTGCCACCCCACAAGGTTCTTCTGTATTTTGGAAAGCCTACAAGTAGCAAAGCAGAAATGAAAAACACAAGTTGAGGATTTTTAAAGATCTTTGAGCTCTGTCTGCAGTAGTATTTTTAGAATATGTTTTAGAATGCATGTTTAGATACAGAAGTTAACTCAATATAGACTTTGTATCTAAATCAACTCTGAAAAAGAATCTTTCTCTAAAGAATTTGTGTCTTCACGGATTCTTGTATAACATTTAACAGCATACTTTAGGAAAGGTATTTATCAAAAAAAAAGTTGACCTCCCGTAGAATGTATAAAATGGTTTATAAAACCACGAAGGCTTTGCCTTCCAGTCACCAAAGCCAAGTGGCCTCACGAGGGTTCTGCAACCCATTTAAAACATATTTGATAAATTTGAGATTTCAGGAGTTTTGCACTCACTAAGAATTAAGAATATGAATGTGAACTTTAATTTTTGGATCCTGAAGCACCTACTTTGAAAAAACCCTGACTAATGATCTTATGACAACGAACAATTTTAAAAACAAATATACCTCTTCTGGCATAATTGGTATCCATATCCTTAAAATGCACCATTACAAAATCTGAAGACTTGAACAGGATACTCTCCAGAATGTCTTCACGTTTTGGCCCCAAACTGGATTCTGCAGTTTTCCGATGAGCAGCATCAACCACCAAATCACACTGTGGGACACACAGAAAGGCTCTCAATTAATGCACCATCAGCTACTCAATAAATTCACCTACTTGCAAAAAAAACCCCAGACATTTACAGTCTGCTTGTGCAAGTAGTCAAAATAATTCACAGTAAATATTCGAATTAAACAAAATATTCACATTTTAATCAAACACTGATTATCAGGAGCTTTGAAAATAAGAGTCAAAATGTCAAAAAATTACCTTAGGACTGTAGGTTTTAAAAACTCCTTCATATATACCACCATTTTTCACTTGTACTTCACATTTGGATCCCTAGAACGCAAGAAAAATGAAAATATAACTTTCTACGAGACAAATGACATTTCAGTGATTTTCTTAAACACGTATTCCTTACATAAGTGCACTGTGTAAAAAACCAGCTCAATTTTCAGTCAGATCTCCTCATTCAGCACCTGCCAATTTACAGATCCACTGCTGTGCTCTGCAGCTGCAAACAGCTGGGTGTGTATGTGCTGCTCTGGAGGGATTTAAAGATACTCACAGGAGCATATTTGGTTCTTACAAGACTCTTGACCAGCTAAAGCACAAAGAAGTTCTTGCTGAAAACTGAGATCTGTGCATGTGTGGGTACAAAAAAGGATAAAAGCTTAACCTGGACTCAAGGAGAGATGTGGGACTTAAATTTGGCATGTCAGGACTTCCTCTGGAATCTGGGAGAAAGGGTTCTAATCCCTGCACACAGACCCATTTTATTTACCCATAACCTCTCTAAAACCAGAAAATTCAAAATATGACCAGTGCACCTAAGAAATCTGCTGTACCTCTACAAATTAAAATATTGCCAAGTAAAAACTACAGAATTACTGAGATCAAGTTGGCAGAAAGTGCCTAAAATTCAATATTCACTCCATCATATTACAATTACTGGACTAGTTAACGATTCTCTGTCACTATAGGAACTGTTTCCCCTCTTCCAAACATGAAGACTTACAACAACTGATGTGAGTATGTGAACCATTCTCATGTTTGCATAGATGCCATCGAAAGAAATCTGAAAAATAAGAAAGAAATCATAAATACAGGAGAAAAACTTGTAACAGTTCTAAAATTCAGAGCACCCAAACCAATGCTGGCTTTCATATGAGTTCCTAGAAACACTGGTTCAAAGCCTTACTCAAGCAATATACATAGAATGTATATTTAAATATTATTATTAATATTGAATATGGCACAGGAGATTTCCAAAGGATCGTTACCCTTTCTCTGACCAATTAAAGATCTAACACCCTTCCAAACAAGATAAAAATCCCACTCAATAAACAAGGAAATATCACTCAATACTGAAATTCTCTGGCTGGTTGGGTGACGCTCATGCACAGACTCGAGGGGCGTCAGCAGGGCTTTGTTTTCTGACTGGAAGAGCCCTGCTGACATCCCTCTCTGCCTTAAGAACCATCAAGAGCAAGGCACTCCAAGTGCTGCAGAAGTGAAAAGGTGCTTTCAGGCTGCTGAACCACATCTTTTCATCTCCCAGCCCTGATTACACCCATTAACAGGAGCCAAAGCCGTCAAATCGTCGAGCGCCAAATTGCTACAAACCCTGTTATTAAAACAGTCCAAAGTAATTCACTGCAGCACCAGGAACTGAAACCCTGACTGGGAGAGCTCACCAGGTACCACCAGGACACATTCACTGGTGAGGATGTCTGTGCTTTGTTGCAATATCTGGTATCTCTCCCTGTCAACTCTGTGCTTGTGAAATGAGCAGGGACCTCACCATATTCTGAGCTTTTCCACTGACAACACATCTTTTCAACTGTCAGCTCCTTAATCCACTTACTGCTGTGTGCCAGCCACTTCCCTGGGCTGCAAAGACACGTTTGGGGACACTCCTGTGCTCAGCACTCAGCACACAGGACATGAAGACCAACACTTGGACGATGTTTAGTGTTTGCATATGGCCTTTTTCACCAGACTCCCTCAAAGCTTCTTTATTTTTACTCAAGTGCCTTGATATCTTCAATAAACATTAATGTAAGTAAACTGTGGCCCTTTTAAACCTTCCTACTTCTGCTCCATACCCCCAAATTAGCCATCTTTGAAAAACAGGTCAATAACAAATGGGTAAATATTTGATTGGTGCAGTTCAAAGATCCACATCTTTAGCTCTGATAAAATGATGTTCTACAAGTCAAGCCACAACTATACTTCAATCATACATAGCCCTGAAAATAACTGAAGACATTGGGGGTAGGAGAATTCTGAGTTAGCAATTTTATAGTAAAGCCAAACAAAATAGTTATTTTTATTTAATTAAATGCTGTCTTAAATCTCTTTAAGGGAGAAGCTAATGTTAGACTCTCCAGATAGGAACTAGTTCAAAAAGCACTGCCTCAAGCTAAATGTTATTCACATCTACAACTAGAATTGCAGGAAAATGGAGAATATTTATGTAAGTGTAGTCAAAAGTTTAAGAGAACCTTTCCCCCTTCACCCTCCCAGGAGACTTAAATGAATGCAAGATGCTACTCTTTAGAAAACTGTATCTCAGTCTAAAGTATCCAAAGGAAAAAACTGGGAGAACATTCCAGTATTCTGCTATTCTTATGTCTCTAAGTTGTTTCCTCTTACCAGGAGTGGTACAATGAGGAGAACCCCCAAACTTACCGTAGGCTGAGGTGGTCCTTTGCCACTGCTGCGGCCTCTGGAATTAAACACACACAGGGGATGTGATTAAAACAACTGCCCAAACTGCTGCATTTCTTACCACGCAGGAATTCCGAACCCCATCTTAATACAGAGTTGAGAATGGGAAACCAGCATTCCCATAGAGCAGAACCTGACAATTACAGGCCCATTGAGTTCATCCTCCTAATTCCTGACCTGACAGCAAGTGCCTTTAGCAGGCAGGGGGTTACTTACAATAAACTAAAGGAGAAAATGAAGACAATACTAAGCCTATGCCGTTGTTCCAAATTCCAAACCTTACTGGCACACAAAACCAAACCTCAGTTCAGGCTCAACCCCTACTTGGGACAGGGTCCTTCTCTGAGGCTCTGAACTTGTCACTGTGTCAGATGAAGGGCCACTCAAATAACTGAGGAGCCCTGGTTGTGAGGCTCTACCTACAGAGCTTGTTTCCAACTGCTCTCATGACCCAGCAAGATAAAGTAATTAAGTCTGTCCATCCCCTCAAAAACACTGACTCCTTTTAATGCAAACCTGCCCATGTGCAGCACTCCGAACACTTCCATAAGCTTTTAAATTAACCTGGATGCTCGGGATACCCTGCAAGCTGAGCTGGATCAGTCTGTGCCCTTCACCTCAGCCATCTGAGTCCCAAAACATCCCTGCAGCTGCTAAGTCTACAACAGCTCCAGTTCTTCAGATCCACTGGTGTGTCTTAATTCTAAGTTCCTTCCTTGTACCAAGAAGTCCCAGTTTCAAATACTTCTCACAGTGATTTAGATTTATATTACAACTTCAGGAGTGCCCCAAGCGTAATGTGAGGCAAAATTAAGTCTTCTACTGAAAAAAAAATCAGTTTTTAAAATAGAACCACCTTATTGATGCACAACCATTTCATTAAAGAGACACAAAGAATCACATCCATGTTTCAAAATATCCAAACAACACTGAAATCTAAATCCCACGGAATGTCATGGAATCCCAGAATGGTTTGGGCTGCAAGGGACCTTAAAGATGACCTCAGTCCAAGCCCCTGCCATGGGCAGGGGCACCTTCCACTAGACCAGGTTGCTCAGAGCTCTTGAACACCTTCACTGGATGTCAACTGCATTGAACTGCTTTTGAAAACACCAATCTACCCCTCAAAATAACATGCCTCTAAAGATAAGGCTCATGGGACAGCCAAGAAATCAAAGGAACTTCTCTCCCAATGAACATAAATAACTCTCCAATAAATTCTGTAGAAATAAAGGCCATCAGAGAGCCATGAAAGGATTTAATGAAGAAAAAATGAAAACCCACTAAACTATCACCTGCCTCGTTTAAGAAAACAAGTTTCTGCAACAAAATGTGGTCTCAGAGCATCCCCCACACTGGTGACATTTGCTGATGGCAGGACCTGCAGATTTGGGGGGCCCAGCAGGCATTCTCAGAATATTGCAGAATACTAATTTCAGAGAAAAAACCCCAAATTCTAATGCAAATAACCTTTATTTAACTACCATCAGCCTGAACTGTCCATAGAATCTTCACTTCACCTTGCTCTCGAGACAAGAAACTCTCATCATTTCCTAAACCTGCCATCTGTTAAATGGCAACCTGGAACAGCATTTTTGCATAGTATTCAGAGGAATGATCCCTCTGTTTCTGAAAGTCATTTCACCAGACGAGAAACCCCCAAACAAGAGGTTCAGTCCAGTTCTGACTTGTCCTTCTATTACAATCAAAAACGGAACCACCACGGTCGCTCGCAGAACTCGGCCAAAGTCAACCAATTTCAGCAGCTCTATCTGTTGGCCTCAAGGATTTTAGATCCTCCTTCTTCATCAGCTACAGAAATGGTCAAAAGGAAGAGTTTGGTGCCTTTGCAATAGAAACCACTCCATTTTTAGTGACAAAGTATTCTTAGAACTTAAATAACTGGGTTGCTGGACTGGTCAGAAAGTTTGGAGCGTTCCCTCCAAGCATCAACCCAACTGTTCTGGATTTTCCATCTCTTACCACATTTCCAAAATTACTCTTCCTACCCACATTTCTTTAAGAAATAAACTGCTTGTGCACATCCATGTTGGCAAGAGGTCCCAACTTCTACATCAGCCAAGGGTTAAGGTACCTGCAGAAATTCTTTGTTACTCTGATCTAACATATCTCTTTAAAGACCTGGCCTCTTGTTTTCCAGCTTGTGTTAAACATAAACCATTGGAAAAAAAGGAAAAACATTCACCAAGATGAAAAAAATAAAGATATTCACCAATCCAGTTCAACAATACAGTCAAAACTGTGTCTTCTCCTAAAACTGAGGCCATCAACTTGAGTTTCATATTCCAACAGGCAAAGACTCAAGTTCAAACTACCCTTTGACATATCTTTGATGTATCAAATGAAAAAAAAAAACAAAAACATTTAAAACCTCTGCAAAAGCAGAAAGCAAGTGGGTTTTGCCAGAAGTTTAACATAATTTAGAACAAGAGAGTAAAACTAAGAATGGGGGAATCCAGAAGGGTCAGTAGTAATTTGGCACTGCTACCTAAAAACCCATTTTCATTACAGCAAGTATGGAAAATTAAAAAAAAAATGCACTTTGCATTGCAGAAATGTGGTTAAAGGTAAACGTGGGCAGCTTGGCAAACCCAACCTGGAAACCCTTTGCTTTGGGGTAGCAAAGACATAAAATCAGAAACTACGAAGTACCATCAAGCAATTACACTTAGCAGCCAACTCCCTCAGTCCAGCACTGACACCTGAAGAGTCAAAGTCTCCAGCAGGGCCCAAATGCTGCACAATAAATATTTTTCCCCAGCAGCAACTTGCACATTTTTTTCTATTTTTATGAGTATTTCCTACCCTATTCCTCACATCCCTCCTCCTCCCTATGTTTACATGCCAAGTAGAGCGTTTGTATAAGCAAAACAAGGTCACACGTTTATATTTTCCCAGTTAAGTGAAAACTAAGGCAAAGGAAACAAAGTCCTGCATGTGAAAGTAAGTCTCAACTTTTCTCTCCAGTGGCATCTTCACTTTGAGACTAAGAAATAAATGCAATCACCCTGCAATTAATGCCTAGAGCAGAAGTGCAAGTACTCAATTTTAGAGTGAATGGATGTTTCTGGAGCACTGATCTTACTGCAGCTTGGAAAGCAAATTTACAGGATATTCTAAAGAATTCTAGTGCAGAGAGCTGGGAATGCTTTTCTTCTGAGGGAGAAATCAGAAGCACAAGGTTTTATTTCAGTGTAGTGTTCAGCTGTATAAAGTCAAATGAATCGAAGCTGTCGATTAAGATTATGCAAGTCCTGCACGTTTGTTTTCTGTAGTTTTTTCCCCCACTACTGACATCGATAATGTCAATTCCTGTTTCCACAAGAAATGACAGTTTCTGTAGCATCTGGATATGGAATAACCTGCGTCCAGTCTGACCCAGTGCACACCAGTAACCTGCTGATGGGCTTAGTCACTGTAGAACCTTCTTCATCTACATTGCCATGAATCGGTTGTTAAATTAAAAGTTACTCAAAATCAGGGATATAATATCATGCTGAAGTGCATTCTCAGTGATAAGGGAAGAGACCTGCAGGTTAACCAGGCATTTTGCTCAGCAGTTTTGCACAGTTGCACTAAAACCCACACAAAGACGTGAGAACAAACTAGAAACCCTCTGAATGGCACGTGTGATCAGCCCTCCAGAACAGTCACTCCCATTATATCCCACTGCCTTGGCACTCAATATTCCCAATTCTTTCAGTCTGAACAGGATTGACACCTCTCCTGGCCTTTCCTTAAGCTTATAAAAAAGGATGTCAAGGAAAAAAGGAAAATAAATGTTGGCAAGAAGTGGGTGTAGTTCGTTTTCGAGACTTATCCATGGGATTATTTCAGTTTTAGTTTTTAATGGGAAAAGCCATTTTTAAAGGATAGTACTTCAGTGTCTTCTCAAATGACCCCCAAGTCCATCTTGGCAAGAAAGTTACCAAAATGAAAAATCCCTTCTGCCACAATTGTAACCAAAACCTGAGTCTTTGCCCTCAGACAAAATAACAGTGGGGGAAATTAATAACAAAAAAAGGGTGAAGAGCTTGGAGGAAGGTTGGGATGGATACAACTTCCAACCAGAGGGCAGCCAACCCTCCTGTGCTTGCATAAGGACAAAACTCAGACAAAAAAAGCAGATGTTAGATAATGTTCTGACCAGCACAGGGAGCAGGTTTGGGAACCAGGTCCACACTTTCCCTAATTACAGTTCATTGTGCTCTTGGCATCTCCCCTTCAGCCCCAGCCCACCTGCCATATCAAACCCAGCATTTCACTTGGGGCCTCTTCATAAAAAAGGTATGAATCTTTCTTTTTTTCTTGAACACTTCTAAAGATACCTTCATTTCTGATTTTTTCCCCTTATGTAAAGGGAAAATTAACGGTATAATGAAAACCCCTGGAATGCCTTGTTTGTTCACACAAGATTTTACCTTTACCAACATGAAACAGAGATGTCCATCACTGTGAGCCCATGGAGACCAACACCCTCCACTCATGATCAGAGGTACAAGGACGAAAAGCTCAGCCCAGTTCTTACAGCAATAAACTCCCAGCAGAAAATTAGGCCCAGGACAGCTAATTATCCGTGAGCTTTCTGCCCAAACTAAGCTTTTAAAAGCAACTTAGCCATGAAAAGTAACATTTTCTTGTATTTACGGTAAAAAAGGGAATGCTAGGGCTGCAGGGAAATGAGCTGCTGGGAGGAAAGCTTGGCAAAAACTGGAGATGTTTTAAATTTCTATTAAATAATACAATGCATCGAATTGGTATGAAGATGCAGGCCACCTAAATTTTGATTTTTTTAAACAAAAAAAGCCACTCAGCTTTTCATTTACATGGACAGATCTGCAGCACAAACCATCCTTGAATTTGTACTCCCAAAAAGACAGGGTTTCTCTTCAGGACAGCAATAGGATAAGTTCTCTGAAGGTGTTCCATGGGGCTGTGATTTTACAGACCTCTCATTCAGAAATAACTTGAAAAATT